TCTATTTACAAATGGATTATCATTTAAACAAGTTTATTCAGTAAATATAAAACTTATTCAGCTGAAATTGACAGCGAAAAATTAAGCATAATGAAACTTCAATCAGCAGCTAACACTTTTGCTATTATATTTCAGATTGAAATCCTATCACCCGGTTGACTTTTTACACCAGTGTTCTTAGATTTTGTATTTTTTTCAGTACTTTGACCATATTAAAAAGTTTTTTTTAAAACCCTACTAACGGAAATTAGAGGGTCCGACTCCCTGGGTGTCCAGTTTAGTTCCCATCCCAAAACAAAATAATGATGTAAGACTTTGCGTTGACATGAGAATGGCAAACAAAGCTAGATTGAGGGAAAGATTTCCTATGCCAAATATAGAGGAGGTTTTGATGCAGACAGATGAATGGATCTGTAATATTTTCAAAATTAGATCTAAAACAATCTTTTCACCAGATAGAATTAGATGAAAAATCAAGATATATTACCACTTTTGTATGTCACAAGGGTTTATACCAGTACAAAGTACTAAATTTTGGTATTAATATGGCCCCAGAAACACACCAGAGAATCATTCAGCAATTGCTTCAAGATATTCCAAATTGCCAAAATATTGCTGATGACATAATTATTTATGCAGACTCTGTTGAAAAACACGATAAAGCCCTTGTCCGTGTCTTACAAAGGTTGCGTGAAAAGAATCTGACTCTGAACCGTGACAAATGTGAGTTTTGTAAAACTGAACTTAAGTTCATGGGTCATATACTGTCCAAAGATGGCATCAAAATTGATGACGCAAAAGTCAGGGCAGTCCGAGATGCCGAACCTCCGACCAATATCACAGAAGTCAAATCATTCTTAGGTCTGGTTTCATTCTGTTCAAAATTCATCCCAAATTATGCCACTCTGTCTGAGCCCTTGCGAAAATTAACAAGAAAGAAAGAACCCTGGGTCTGGGGAAATGACCAGCATGAAAGCTTCGAAAAACTCAAACAATGTCTCATAAGTGCTAGGGTCATGTCCTATTATAATCCTGAAGCAGAAACAAGGCTCATTGTGGATGGATCTCCTGTTGGGGTAGGGGGAGTTCTTGAGCAAAAACAAAAAGATGGTACATTTAAACCAATAGCGTATGCAAGTCGTATCTTGTCTGATGTAGAAAGGCGTTACAGTCAAGCTGAGCGCGAGACCTTGGCAGTTGTGTATATGATACTCAGATTTCATGTTTATCTTTGGGGAATTAATTTCACAGTCTTGTCTGACTGTAGATCCCTTGAGAAAATTTTCACTCGAAGGCATGAATCAACCCCAAGAATATTAAACTTGGTTTTAAAAGTACAGCCATTTTCTTTTCAAGTACAATTTCTACCAGGTTATCTGAATCGGGCAGATATTTTGTCCAGAAAACCAATTAGGGAAACAGATGATTCAATCTGTAGCCAAACAGAAAATTATGTGCATCTTGTTACAAATTGTTCTGTCCCAATAGCTGTAACCTTAGATGAACTTCAAGGATGTTCACAAAGTGACCCAGTCTTGAAACAAGTACGCACTTGTCTAGAGAAAATAAATGGAAAAACCCGCATCAATTAAAACCCTATTACCAAGTCAGACATAATCTTTCGGTCAAAGATTCTCTTATCTTGAAGGGTAATAAACTCCGCATTCCAGAGCATTTTTTTACAATCCCATGTACTTCAATCCGCTCACCCATCACACGTGGGAATACAGAAAACAAAAAGGCTTATTAGAGAAAAAGTTTTGTTCCCAAACTTAGACAAACAAGTAGAAAATATGATAAAATTTTGTCATGCATGTCAGATGGTGTCTCAAACCCCGCAAGAACCTCCTGTGGTAATGACAAAACTTCCATCTACCCCTGGAAAGAACAAAGCATAGATTTATTTTATGGGTCCAACAAATAATGAGAACCTGTTGGTTCTGATAGATTATTACACCAGGTATCCTTTAGTGGCAATTCTAAAGTCAACCACAAGTAAGTCAATCATAAATCAGTTAAGTAAATGGTTTGCAATGTTTGGATATCCCAGACAAATTAGAACGGATAATGCATCAAAGTTTTGCAGTGAGGAATTTAAGGTATTTTGTCATGAACATGGCATCAAACATTGTAGGTCAACACCATACTTTCCTAGGTCAAATGGTTTAGTAGAGAATTTTAATAGGTCTCTAAAAAAGTGTGTTCATACTGCAATCTCAGAAAACAAAAATTGGAGAGAAGCATTAAACACATTTTTGCTACATTTCAGAGCAACACCACATTGCACTACAAATTTTGCACCAGCATTTTTGATGTTTAACAGAGATATTAAAACAAAAATTCCACAGTTAGAAAAAATAAGAGTTAACGCAAAATTGAGAAATAGGGACAGGATACAGAAACAAAGAATTCAATATTGGGCAAACAAACATATGGCCAAAGGGTACAGAAAATTCAAGATAGGGCAGAGAGTCCTAATTCTCAGACATGAGAAAAAATAAAGGTAAAATGTTAACTAATTGGGCAAATGATATCTGTAGGGTTGTAAGTCAAAAGGGCACATCTGTGAAGGTGATAAGTACAAGTGGCAACATTTATTACAGGAATGTAAGTCATGTAAAGCCATACTTTGGATAATAATTGTGTTATCAAACAAAGGGTGTGTTGACATTAGAAGTTGGATTATGTTGTTATATTTATCTAATAAGCAATCATTATAGTGTTATATTTATCTAATAAGCAATTAGTTTTCTAGGTGTTCATACTAGAAGTAGATGTTATTAGTTTATGAATTTATACCGTGAGAAACTATTCAAATCAAGGGAGGATGTGATGACTGACACTTAGTACACACCCAAGAGGTGGAGCTATTTAGATAGTTGTTTTAATATGTTATGTTTATCATGTATTTTATAGAGAGTTACAGTGTATGTATGAATGTAAAACAATAAAGCTGTATTATAAGCTAGCTGTGGTGTTGATTTTAATAATCCTCAAATAAACAGAATGTTACAAAAGTGATTCCTCGGAAGCATTAATCACAACAAAATTACAAGAGAATTGCAGTCTCGGTTTGATTGAGTCTGTACATGTACGAATTAAGGTACGTCGCGATCTACCCTGGTTAATCCAAACATCATTAGCCAAATTAGGAAACGTGATCGACTGTATTCAAAAAAATACCCCGGACCTGCTAAGCAAATTAAAAAAGCTTAGAGGCAAAGTCCAAAAAGAAAAAAAGGAACTCATACTTGTTGTACTTAGAAAAGGTTATTTTCTCTGATAATTCACAACCAGGCATGACTCATGAGTAAGAAGTTCTACTCTTTCATCAAATCAAACAAAACAGAAAACTGTGGAGTCGCACCTTTAAAGAGTGATGGTCAAACCTTTACTGGTTCCAAAATGAAGGCAGACATACTAAACAAACAATTTGAGTCTGTCTTTTCCCGCCCCCAACCATTAAGTCTAAACCTGTCATGCAAACAATTGCTCATTCCACAAAACTAACCAAAAGCCAAATGTCAACATAACCGAGGAATGAGTTTACAAAGAAACTACTCAAAGGTTTAAACCCAAGCAAAGCCTCTGGTCCCGACCACCTGTCCCCAAGGTTATTGAAAGAACTTCATACTGATATTGCCCCAGTTCTCACACACATCTTCCAAATTTCCTTAAAAACTGGTACTGTTCCTTATGACTGGAAGCATGCAGTCATTGCCCCTGTTTATAAGAAAGGGCGAAACTGGAAGCCTAGTAACTATAGACCAATATCATTAACTTGCATTGCCTCAAAACTAATGGAGCACATAATTGTCTCCAATATCATGTCTTTCTACGATAAGCATGATATTCTCAGCAAATTCCAACATGGTTTCAGGTCAAAACATAGCTGTGAAACCCAGCTTATCAGTTTCACCCAGGAAGTTCATGACAATTTAGAGCAAGGCCAACAGACGATGTCATTGTTATGGACTTCAGCAAAGCATTTGATAAAGTCGACCACCACAAGCTTCTTCTTAAACCACACAGACTAGGTGTTAGTTCAGAGGTCATCAATTGGACAAGGTCATTTTTATATGGTCGCACCAAACAGGTCGTGGTCGATGGTCAAAACTCTGACAACCTAGCAGTTCTTTCTGGTGTCCCCCAAGGCTCGATCCTGAGACCTTGCCTTTTCTTACATAAATGACCTCACTGATAGTGTTAAGGGCAAGGTTAGACTACATTGTATTTGCAGACGATACAATAGTAACAATCAAATCAACCCAAGATGCAAAAACCCTCCAAAAAGATTTCAACAGTCTTGAAAACTTGGGATCTGATTAGTCCATGGAATTTAACCCAGATAAATGTGAAGTCCTTAGTATCAGCTGCAAAAAAAAACAACATCCAGAAGCATCCCCTTATAATTTACATGGTAAACAAAGTTCTAAAATCAACTGAGGCTGCAAAATATTTAGGTGTAACAATTAGTAAAGATTTATCTTGGACCAATCATATAAACAACATAACAGCAAAAGCAAATAATTCACTCAGATTTATAGAAAGAAATGTCAAAACTTCAAACAAAAAGGTTAAAGAAAATGCCTACAAAACCTATATGTCGATCTGGCCCCAGTTAGAGTTTGGCATCCTTGGCAAAAATATCTGGTTTACAAAATAGAATAAGTTCAAAGGTCAGCTGCCAGATATGTATACAACGACTACAATTACACCAGAAGTGTATCTAAAATGTTTCATATTTTCTCGGATTTATGTCACCTCTTCATTAATTAGGAAAAATGTGACATAAAAAGAACACGTAATTTATACCAGGGAAATTGGTTGATGTTTTGATGGACATGTCGATTTTCCAACCAAGACAAGATCGTTCATAATTAAAAAAATCAAAATATATATATTTCTTGCACTGACATATATTCCGAAATCTGGACTTAATTCATTACTTTTGGTCAGAATTGATAATGGTCCATTTCTATTTAACTTCCTAATTTAGCGGCCTCTTGCCTGGAAAACCAAAACAAAACAGAAACTAGTGAGATAAAATGAATAACGCGGAAAAGGAAGGCTGTAAAAAGCTACTTGGCATGCTTGATTATAATGACCTTTCATCTCTTGTTGACACTACAACGAAAAAACAAATATCGGTTTCACGAACCTCAGGTACAAAAAATACAAAGTGTTATAGTATTCGGATAGGACATTCGTCTATTGTGAAAAGTATTGCCTCGGAGTCTCCAGTCCTCTTCCGTCTTATTTGAAGCATTACATTGACAAAATATAAACACTAGGTGAAGTTTAAAGCAATTTTGTGTAACAATGTTGATATCAAGTCACTTGAAGGAGTGTGATATCTACAAGCAGTGTGATCACAGGAGATTGACATTCTATCTGTTATTGAAAAATATAAGCAAATAATTAAAAAATAACAGCAAATGTACCCCTCTATACTATCGATAAACACAAATAATGCAACGCCTTTTGCACACTCAATACACAATACACGTATCTAATTGCACAAGTGGAAAATCAGTTGTGCATCTCGTCGACAATTTTGGTTCATTGAGTTTTGCACAGATTTATATTACAGGGATCGGACACTCCCAGTTAACCCTATATAAATGCTTAAATATCTTGTCGCGCACCAGATAAAGGTACACCGATCGCTAATTTACCGGCGCTAAGCGTAAATGCCGGTTCGTAACGGATACCTACTTTACAAAATACCATATAGCTTTTCCATTTATTATCCGATTTTGGAAATTTAAAGTTTATTTTGAAGAAAAATACTGTTTAATTCAAATATCTAATTCATTCTTTAAAGAAACAGAGTATCTGTCCGCAACGACGATTAAAAAATTAACTTGAAGAAATCTGCGGTAAATTTACATTTTTTATATAAAAAGCAGGCAGACATGCGATATCCTGGCGGGATTTAAAAAAATCCCGATATTTCAACACTGATCCCGATTCCTGATATTATAGCTTGAATTCCCGATATAAAAAAAATAAACATAAAAAAATCAAACACAGCACCTGTATCTAAAATGTAAACCGTGCCTCTGGGCATTGATTGTTATCTGTCCATACCCTAAATTATAGCCAATTAAAAGTTGTGTTGCTAATTGACAGCAAAGTGACATAATAAACAGTTCGTGTGCTCAACAATTTACATCTTTTATAATTTGGCAGTAGGTATTACACGCTACGTCATCAAAATGACCTTGTAAATTTACATGAATGAAATCAGCGCCGCCTTTGATTTTCTTTGATTAGTGCTGCACTGATCAAGATTAAAGGTCCGCAGAATCATTTAAACTGATAGATAGACACAGCCACATGTTTAGGGAATGAATATGAACATTATATTTGTATGAGGACATGACCTCAAATGAGAGAGAGAAATCTTGATCTACTGTTGGGACACAGTATTCTCAGACTAACTGTCCATTGCTCTAGTTGTTATATACCAGTATGAAAGTGGATCCAATAGTAAGTGCGCTTCTGTTGTAGCAAAACTGTTTGTACCAATAAACAAAACTAAACAACTTTCTACCATTAGAAAGTTGTTAAAATTTCACAATGTTTTATTCTAGCTTAAATAGCTTTTGTTTTAAATTATTAGCCAATAATTGCATGACTAAAAAGACAGATCTATAATTATACAAAGTGAAAATAATGAAATGTGAAAATGTGACTGTTCTAGGACTACATCATCAGTACATGTATATATAATTATTGTTTTTTTTTGTGAATTAAATTAATATTGATTAACAAAAAGATCATAAATTTTATTTTTATTTTTTTGGTGAAATAAATTTATATTGATCAACAAAAATATCATTAAAATATGATCATTTAATGATTTTTAGGGTAACGTAGATTCTTTGAACCAAATGTGCCAAACAAATAAATTCAATTTTAAAATAAAAAAGAAGCCGATGTAAGTTATTCACAGATGATCAAAGATGCAATATTGAAGATTTATTGGGTTATGTAGTCAAATTAATTGACGCACAATTGTTTTACGGGTAATGTATTGCTTGCTTTACGATTCGCTCAACATGTGAAGTAAATTTTATTCATTAATTAGTACAAAATATTGCTGATATTGTCAATATTGCCATTTTCATAGAATATTTAAATGTCATTCATCATTTATATCATTATTTTTTTTTTTGTAAATCTGTTTTCAAATGTCGGTGCAGTGAAGTAGACAATCATCATAACAGTAAAGTACTCTCGTGTGGCTGTCACGATTCCGGCCTTTTTATTGTCACTCGTATATTTTAATTATTCTTTTTATTTACATGCCTGTAGAAAGATATTTCTGATATTTTTTAATGTAACGCTAGAAAACAATAAAAATCTTTACAGTTTGAGTCAGTATTATGCGAAATAAAAGTAACTGTTGATTATTTTTTACACATCGCTTAAATTTCTTTGAAGTTTAATTACTTTTGAAGGGGGTTAATTACCAGGTAACAAGTGATAATTGAAAAACTTTATTTTCAAACTTTCATTACCAGATTACATGTGATAATTGCAACACTCAATCTTCAAAAACAAATAGAATTTGTATATATTATTTTGTATGTGCATGGTCTTTAACTGCAGTCCATGGTATGTGTAATAAGAAAATGATTCTAAAGAGGATATATATAAATACAATGTAAATGTATTTTCTTAAATAACATTTATAAATGAAATTGAAAATATACAACTAAATTTGTATAGTCCTTTCGTTGAAAAATAATGAAAATAAAACATATGACAAATAAATCATTTGACATGAATTGTGAAGGATAACTATGAAAAAAATCTGTTTAAAAATAAAAAATAATATTATAAAACAGCTGTTCTGTATGCCAATAAAAGTTTCTTCCTTGCCAATCTAATGAATTCATCTATATATGAACGCTTGTCTTGAATGATCTGAAAATATATTTAATACACTAATTAGTAGAATATTTACTTTATTTATACTAATATTCAGGTAATCAAAATAAAAAAATCTTCAAATCATTTGGAAATAATTCACAGAAATAAAGACAAATTTCAAACATGAATTTCTTGAAAAGTTTTTAAGCAATCAAGAAACATTTTTTTGCAATGTAACCATTAAACCATGTAAAAAATAATTATCTTAATCTGAATCGTGGTAATCATTTGTGCTTGAAGTTAAAGGGCATCAAAGTGTAGAGTATGCCTAAACAATAGGCAAATATTTTTAATATTAAATTAGGTACTTTTTTAACTTGGCGTTGCAGCGTTCTATCGGCATATTTTCATATATTAATACTTTAGCGGCACAAAATAATACTGTATCAATACATTCATAGTGTGTATTATTTTTCACAAAGCTGCAATAACACCACATACTCTTGTGAAAATCCGTCATATTTCGCACTCCGCACGTTCCGCCATCTCTCATTCTGTCCACCTTTATCGGATATGCGATTCCACGCATGCACGACGCGATTTTAAGCTAAACGATAGTGTCCGATCCTTGTTATATAAATCCGTGATTTTTGTCAGAGTTTTGGCCCTTTCATGATTTTAATTCTTAAATTTGTCCGGACTACTCCTGTTATACCACTAATGCAATTTCAATGAAACTTTACAGGATTGATCGGTAGCTCAAATTCTTGTGCATATCACACAGATTTTCAGGTTGAATGATTTTTTGCTGAGGTATGGCTATCATGAGGCAGCAATTTTTTCTCTACTTTGGGAATGGTGCAGGTACCTGACTGATTGGAAAAAAATGCATTATTTTTACTTAAATTGGGAATTTTTTTATGCATTTTTTTCAGCTACAAATAAGATTAGTCATCATGAATAAAGAGAGCTAACAGCTTCCACTCAGTCCAGATAGAACTATTGAGTGGTGATTTATGTTGGATTTAAATCATTTCAGAGAAATCACTTGGCCTTGTGGGAATTTTGAACAGCCATTTTGGCAATTTAAACATTGGAAATTGGGAATTTTAATGTCTATTTTCTATTGGGAGCAGTACCGTTTTAGGGTAGTAGTTATAAAAAGAAGAAAAAAAACACTGTGATGCGACACATGTCATCACTGATGGCCCTTGTATTTCATTCATTCACTGTAATTAGCGCTTGGAGCTTCAGTTTGTTTGGTTTGTAAACAGTATTACTTATACTTGTAAACAAATCTTAGGTATTTGGATATGACATTATTTAAAAATGTATATTACAGATATTTATATATATATATATATTTTGTTTTCAGAGGCAATCAAAGCTATCATTGAGTACACACCATCTGCAATAGAATTATTAAAGAGGAAAAAAGTGAAGAGGGATATTCTTTTCAAGTTCCTAGCAGAACAGAAAGTTTGTATCCATTACATGGGACCTAATAATTACATGTATCTGCATCCTTAGACATTTGCAATAGTTTGCATCTTAAATGCGTATTTAACTTAAATTCTTTTGGATTTTACTTGCATTCAATTATCATTATTTCATGGGTGCAGCCATTTTATTGTTCATGCCTAAGTTAATTTGTAATGGCTTCATTCATTGGTTATTTTCATTTTATTTTAATCCAATGTCTGATTGTTTATTTGGTCATATGATTTTCACTTGTTGTATTATCTCTATAAGTCATGCATTTCATCGTTTTATTAGTAAGGTGTATCAGCTTTGAAACTCCTTCAGAGACCGCCTACGTGGTCGAGGGGTTAGAGTCGATGACTTCTAATCCAGTTACCTCTCTGGCGTGGGTTCAATCCCCGGGAGATGCTTTGGTAGTTTAGCCCAGGGGAAGGTAGTCTAGTACTGGTGTAACTTTCCAGGAACGATGGTTAGGAAACTACCCGCCTATATGACTGAAATACTGTTGGGGGAAAAGGCGTCAAATGAAACAAACAAACAAACGAAACTCCTTCAGTTTCCTAAAACAGTCAAAGACTGGATGGTGAAGGAGAGAGGGACTTAAAATTCCTGCTATTTTGTAAAAAGACTGGTAAAATGAAATGGTGTTTTGGGAAGTTTAAGACATGTCAAAAAAAAAAATGAAAAACTATCTTATACATGATTATATAAAGTCTTTTATTTCTTTTAAACACTTCAATTTTTATATACGCCCGTTTGAAAAACGATCATATTATAGTTCCCCCCCCTGGCGAGCGGCTGGGTGGGCGGCATTCGATTATTGTCTGGAGCATATCTCCTACACGCATGGAAGAATTTTAATGAAACATCATAGAAATGTTAACCACTATGAGGAACTGTGTTGCGGTCATGTAGCAGGTCTCTAGGTAAAAGGTCAAGGTCACACTTAAAGGTCATTGAAAAACGCTTGTCTGGAGCAAAACTTCTACATGCATAGAGGGATTTCAATATATAACTTGGCACAAATGTTCACCATTGTGCACAATTTAGGTCCTTCAACCTTGTGGCCATGGTCAAGGTCACACAAAGGGGTCAAAGTTCAGATAAAAATATGAAAATGTGTATTCAGACCATTTAGTCATCATTTATTGCGGGATTGAAATACATATGGTCATTATCATAACTACTGGTGTGAAACATATAATTTAGGTTTATACATACATGGTCAAGGTCACTAAAGATTATAAAATATAGACATTGTCCAGAGCATGTCTCCTCCATGCATGGTGGGATTCTAATGGAGCTTCATAGGAATGTTCACCATTATGAATAAGCAGTGTCAAATGCATGAACCATGTCTCGAGGTTAAAGGTTAAGGTCACACTTAGAGGTCATTGAAAAATGCTTGTTCGGAGCCGAACTTCTACATTCATCAGGGGATTTTAATGTAACTTGTCACAAATGTTCACCTTTGTGAGGCTTATTGCGCATATAATCCAGGTCCCTTCTACCAAACTCAAGGTCACATAGAGAGGTCAAAGTTTGTGAACAGGGACCATTTAGTCATCATTTATTGATGGATTGTAACACAAATGATAACTGTCATGACTACAAGTGTGACACATGTAATTAAGGTTAATATTTGCAAGGTCAAAATCACTAGAGATGATAAAATATCCAGATATTTTCTGGATATTGTCCAGAGCATATCTCCTATATGCATATCTATAATGCCCACACCTTTGTCAAAAGCTTCTGTGACCGGCGTATATTGTGACAATGTTGCCCTTGTTTCAAAATAGATACAGTTCACAAATTTTACCTCTTTTTGTGATCCCTACATGTGGCGTTCAAAGTATATTTTTAGCACCTGTGACCTACTTGTGCATCAGAATAAAAACAAGTTTTTGCCATCACAAAAGCTCATTTTTGACAACTCGTATATGCTACAATTTAACATTTTGGAAAATGAATTAGTATTATTAATCATTTTCAACTGTTGGCCAAAGATGGACAGTGTGTCATTGAATATAGTTTCCATCTATGTATTATAACTTTAACATATTATGTAAGATGCAATTGTTTGAATTCTTTGTTATCTCCTTTATTTCAGGTGATTGTGCCAGTTAATATAGACAAGTCTGGTTTGATCCGAATTATTTTGAAGAAATGGGGTACAAACATTCGAGAAGATGATTTTGTAAGTTGCAGTTTTGTCTCAATCAACTAGGAACCTATCAGATTTTCTAGAATCTAAGTTAACAAACTTTTTCTTATATGTGTATAGCAAAAACTTAAAAATCTTCTTTGAAAAAACCCAAATAGCTAGAGTTTAGATATTAAGCATGAAACATCTTCTAATGAGTGTCTACCAAGTTTGTTCAAATAAAAGCCCTTGGGTCAAAATTGGCCCCGCCCCAGGGGGTCTTTGATTTTCCCTATATGCATATTGTAAAAACTTAAAAAATATTCTTTTAAAGAACCCAAAGAGCTAGAGCTAAGATATTTAGCATGAAACATCTTCTAATGAGTGTCTACCAAGTTTGTTCAAATAAAAGCCCTGGGGTCAAAATTGGCCCCGCCCCAGGGGGTCATTGATTTTCCCTATATGCATATAGTAAAAACTTAAAAAATCTTCTTTTAAAGAACTCAAAGAGCTAGAGCTAAGATATTTAACATAAAACATGTTCTAATGGGTGTCTACCAAGTTTGTTCAAATAAAAGCCCTGGGGTCAAAACTGGCCCCGCCCCGGGTGTCATTGATTTTCCTTATATGTGTATAGCAAAAACTTAAAATCTTCTTTGAAAAAACCCAAATAGCTGGAGTTTAGATATTTAGCATGAAACATCTTCTTGTGAGTGTCTACAAAGTTTGTTCAAATAAAAGCCCTGGGGTCAAAACTGGCCCCGCCCCAGGGGTGTCATTGTTTTTAACTATATGTGTATAGTAAAAACTTAAAAAATCTTCTTTTAAAAAACCCAATGAGCTAGAGCTTAGATGTTTAGCATGAAACATCTTCGTATTGGTGTCTACCAAGTTTGTTCAAATAAAAGCCCCTGGATTAAAATTGGCCCTGACGGGGGGGGGGGGGAGTAGATCATTGTTTTTCATTATATGTGTGTAGTAAAAACTTAACATTGTGAAACATCTTCTAATGGGTGTCTTCTAAGTTTGTTCAAATAAAAGCCCTGGGGTTTTAACTGGCCCCGCTCCGGGTGCCTTTATACAGGTGAGCGACCTCAGGGCCATTATGGCCCTCTTGTTTTGTGTAGAGTTTAAATTAGATGGTAAATAATTTAAAATAAGTGATGATAAATAGACTTCATTTTTTAGTACAATGTACATATCATTTTGATTTGCTTGAAAGAATTTTGGTGTATAATTTTGTGCACCATATGTCAGAAATTTCATGTTCTTCCTGTATCTTTTGAAACAATGGTAAGAAATTGAAATTATTAGGCATTTTTTTTTGAGTTTTTGAGAATACTCTGCCAGTACTTTCCAGATTTGTAGATTAAATAAATTATTACAGAATTAGTTAATACTGCAGAATATTCTAGCCATGGTTCAGGACCAAAATGTATTGAATTTTTGTTTGTTTTGTCTTGTTTATTTGTTTAAGCTGAACTTTTTCGAAGAATAAGGATAGCTATTGTACTCACCCAGGCGCCGGGGTCACACTTAGATTAAGTTTTTGGGTGCAAGTTGGTATCTCCAAAACTACTAAAGGAAATGGGTGGAAACCTCACACACTATTTGATTGCAGAAAAGGAGATCACAGACCAAGGCCCATAGCTCTAACTAAGAAAGTTATGGCCCTTTTTAAATACTTTAGAAGAGCAACTTTAATATCAAGCACTGAGAATAGTCCAGCACACTTGTTATTATAAGAGAAGATAAAACATGCATTCGACCAATGTCATGAATGGATCGCTTCTTTAATTGAAGGATTATAATTGATTACTCAAGCATGTATATTGTCCTGCCTTTATGGTGCTCTTGTAATGTATGGCCAAGAACTAAGTTTAGATATGTATTTAGTCATGACAACTGTAAAAATGCATGTGAACAACAATCTTCAATTTCTAACAAAAATGGACTAGAAATTAGTATTCATTTCCATTTGCACATTATACAAATAAACAAATTAAAGAGAATTATATGTTTGAATACAGTATTCTTGATTTCACTCAGTCTAATGTCATACATGTACGAAAATTATATTTGTTCTTTCTGCTAACCAATATCGGAATATGCATTCAAGCATTTATTCTTTTTTTAAATAGTAAAAAGTATGAACCATGTGAAAGATTGTTATTACAGCTATTGTTTTAAGTTCATTGTTTTGTTTATAGATGGACATAGATCTTGATGAAGACAAACCAACAAATACAAAAGCTAGGAACCAGACTTCAACCTCTGCTCAAACCCTTCAGGATGCTGGGCACCAGTCATTAGATTTAGAAGATATTAATCAGCCACTCAATTCAAGGAACCAGTCACAGCCAGGAGGAGCTCAGGGTCAAGGGAACCAGCATATTCACTATAATTTTCAAGTTAATCCGTCTGTTAATGTTACAAATGTTCATGCGGGAACCAGCTCTCCACAGAACACATCTCAAACAGCACAAGGTCAAAGTGCTTTACTCGACTTGAATAATCAACACTGTATCCATCCAGGTAGCAGTGTTCCAGGTATTGTTAATTCAAATAATGTAGATAAATTATCATCACAAGTAGTTAGCTCAGAATTTCAAACTTTAGGTGAAAAATTTGCTGAATGGTTTTTCAACACTTTGAATTCAAATTGTCCTAGTATGCAAAAAGCGCCAGAAGACTTTGGACCACATCATTTCTGGGATGATGCGTATCTTTTACTGAACTCCTGTACACCGGAACCTAACGTGGAGAAGTTTGAAGGACCTATTCTAGTATCTCAAAGATTTCTAGCATTCTCAAAAGAAGAGCAAGTTTTATTTAACCCGAATTTAACTCGTGAAGGAATTTATGTGAAATCAAACCAACATGGGCTTGTGATGATTCTTGTATGTGGAACTCTACATCGACACAATGAATGTTTAGGCATATTCCAACAAGTGTTTGGTATTGTTAAAGACCCTCGTTTTGATAATAATTGGAAAATTAAAATGATTAAACTTGATGTTAAAACATCAAAACCAACAGGCATGCCTAAACTTGAAGGTAATCTTGACAGCCAAATAATGGCCCTAGTGGCTGTATAAGTCGGATAATGTACAATGTACATATTGTATTTATCGTAGTTTAATTAATTTGAGCCGTGTCACGACAAAACCAACATAGTGTGTTTGCGACCAGCATGGATCCAGACCAGCCTGCGCATCCGCGCAGTCTGATCAGGATCCATGCTGTTCGCTTACCAACTCTATTACAAGTAGAGAAACTGATAGCGAACAGAATGGATCCTGATCAGACTTAACACCTTTTTAAGTGAAAGGCATCAATTAAAGTTATCAATATTTTAACATGCAGCAATAGATCAAATGGTGTATACAATTAAAGGATCAAATTTTCATCCATTAAGTTTTACTAGTAATTGCTACAAAATGCCTTATTTTTCACATTTTGATATGCATAGATATTATTTCAATGGAGTATATAGGAGCTGCTTAGTGCTTATCTACATTTCATTTCGGTTATTTTTCCCATTTTTACTATCATCTATGAAACCACCAACTTGTTTTAGCACATAATCTTTTAATTATGTGGCCTGAGACATCTAATCCTTACTAGCCTTGACATGTTATTGGTTGTTTGCTTTCATCATTTTATATCTTTTGACACTCAATCATGTCATCTGTGTCATTTTCTGGCTATTTCCCTATTATGTCATAATTAAGATTTTCGTAACTGATCAGTACCATGTGTATAACATTTATAATGTTCAGACTTTAAATCTCATTGTACATTTTTGGTAGTAAAGTTGTATTGGACCAGATTTAACAATGAACTTGATTTTCTTGGTCTATACCAAAAACCTGTGTGCAAAATTTCAGATCAGTTGATCACTTCTTTTTCCGGAAAAATCAATTTAACTGTGTAAAATGAGCTGAAAATGAAAATTTTAACTTTTAACTGGAATCAAGCTAAAAATCACACTTGATATTGATTTCCAATTTAGTTATGAGTATTATTGTTATATTTTTTCATATTTCTCTGTTTAAGTGGCCCAGTCAATCTTTTTAGAATTTTTAAATTTTATGTTGTGAAGTACCTTTAAAACAAATAATTTCTGTAAGATTTGTTTAATGGTTATTGCTAAACCAGGTGTTGAAAATATTTTCCTCATAGAAATATAAATGGGGGGGGGGGGCTTTTGTCCTACACTCATAAATGCCATGTGTGACTGTTGATAAATTTGTTAATACACATGTTTATGTAGTCTCTGTTTTGAATCAATATTATTTATATGTGTAACAGTGTATACATTATTTTCATAGTTACTAATACATGTATACATAGTTACTACTATGTTCTGTTATATTTTGTTATGATTTAATTTTATAAGTATGTTTTGCCATAATATATACAGAAGTTTTGCTGATTATATTGCACATATTCATGAATATCTTAAGGTTTTTACAATACTGACATATTGTTAAAGTGTATAAAGCTATATATCTACTGAAAAAAATTTGTTTGAATTTTAAAAAAAACCGAATTCTCCCAAAATGCTTGTATGAAATAAATATATTGTAGTGATTATTGCCGGCGCATGCACAAGATCACTGCTAAACAAATGAAACCCTACCTAAAATACCAGAATGATATTTTGTTCCAGAACATTTTATTCTATTTGCGTACAATATTCATGTGTGTTAACTAACAGAGACATTGTATGTTACAACTCAAGAATCAACCATATGATTATGAAATCAATGCATACATCGCTGACTTCTCTAATTCTGATTATCAGATTAGTTTATACTTAATTTATTTTAGTTGGATTATGTAGGAAGATATAAGCTTATTGAAACACTTTACTGAAAGTAAAGTTTCTTGCTCAAGGAAACAACGGCTTGCCCCTGACAGGGTTTGAACCACGGTCAGCAATCCTTATTAGATTACTAGTCCGAAGTGTTAACCACTTAACCATGCCGCAACTAATTATCAGATTAGTGGATGCAGTAAGAATTTCACCACAACATATTTGATAACAAAAGTTTGTTGTTAAATCTGTTGTTATTTAAATAAAAGGTCAGAGTAGGGATCTATCAATATAATTTTACTGTTGATATATTTTATAAAAAATATTTCATATTAAGATATAGCTTTATACCGTTTCAAAAAGAAAATTTAAATCACAAATTGTATCTCACAGACAATGATATGATTTAATACATAGACATGATTGTGTAACATACTTTAGTGCAAAGTATGTAATACCAACAAGTTGAATATGGTAGTAACCTTCCTTGAATGTAAGAAGATTGATATATTTTTGAGAAATAAATTGCTTTAAATGTAAGGATTTCTAATGTATATTGTATATGTCTATATGTCTCAGTAAATCATTCACTCCAATAAAACTGGTTTGTTATCTTTTTCATTTGGTTCATTTGATAAATTAAATATACATTATTTTATAATTTAAGAGTTGTGATCATATACAAATTTTTACGTAGAGGATATTATTCAACACTAAACCTACCAAACAAGTTGAAGAAAGCCATATTTCACAAGCCTCTGATACTTATGTATTGATAAACATGTATAAGAATAATTTCAAAATTGACTTTTACAATTTGATTCCAATTTACGATAGTCTGTGTCCCATAAACGTGAGTTATTCATGAAATATTTCAAAAACACTAGTCAGGTTAGAGATTGTCAAAAACAGTTGTCAGTTGTTATTGGAAAATTAGTAAGAAATACCCATTTTGACAAGTTAAAAGCAAATGAATGAAAAATTTTCTATTCAGAAACTAAAATGTCCAGAGAAAATTGGCATGTTTGTTTATTTGTTTGTTTGTTTCATTTTATGCCTTTTTCCAACAGTTTTTCAGTCATATAGGCGGGTAGTTTCCTAACCATCGTTCCTGGAGAGTTACACCAGTACTAAACTACCTTCCTCCGCGCTAAACTACCAAAGCATCTCCCAGGGATCGAACCCACGCCAGAGAGGTAATTGGATTAGAAGTCATCGACTCTAACCCCTCGACCACGGAGGCGGTAAATTGGCATGTAGCATTTGCTTTGCAGTCGTCTTCAAATATTTTTTTTTTAATCATTTCTGTGGGGTCAAAATTTTTCTTCTCTTTAGGGGTCACTAACTTTACATAGGTGTACAAAAAAACACTTTTAAATTTTAGTGTGGCTGAATTTTAATGTTATGAAAAAGCATTGTTTGGGGCCCCTCTACTAAAATTATAGGGCATATAATAAAGGGGATTCTCCCTTTGAGGCATTTTGACCCCCTTATTTAAAGGTCACACTAAGTGACATTTTGTATCAGTTTCAAAATTTTGTGTCCACTCTTTATCTTTTGAACCGATAGAGCTAAATTAAACTTTTTGCCAGAAAAACTACTTATAATGAGACGATGTGCAGAAATAAGGTTAGAGCTACCTTTAAAGATCAAAATTGGCTATGCCCCAGGATTTACAATTTCATTGTGTGAAACTACAATGTTTAGAGCATAGATATTCAGCATGCAGTATTGCCTAATTGATCTTTACATAACTAATATGAATTATGCCCCTTTGTTAAATAGGTTTGACTTGATTTATATAAACTTATTTAGGAAAAAGACATCTGAGAATTTTTGTGTGAAACTATGATGTCCACAGCTTAGATATTTGGCATGTAACATCACTTTGTAGACCACATAATAACTGGTATTAATCATGCCCCTAAATGTCTCACTATTGCCTCACCCTATGGATCAATAAGTTAATATGGTTTTGTATAGTCTTATTTTGGTGAAACTACAATGCATAGAGTTTAGAAATTTGACACATGCATGTTGAGTATTGCCTTTTTGGGCTTTACAAAACTGATACTTTAAATATCATGCCCCTTGGGTCAATATTGGCTTGCCTGCTGAGGTCACTTAATTGAATTAGTCTTGTATGAGAAAACACATTTCGGTCTTATTTTGCGAATCTACATGTACAAATAAATGCTAATAGAGCTAAGATATTTAGCATGTGAACCTCTGCAAAATTGATGTTAATCATGCCCCTCACAGGGTCAATGTTAGCCAGGACTTTCCTGGAAAATGTTTTATAAACAATCAATTTGATGACCACTTGCCAATAAGGGTATACTTTGGGGTGAATACGAGTTGGAAGAGTAGAGATTAATTTCACCCCTTTTGGGGAAGGCCCTTTAAATTTATGCTGTAGTACTAAATGGTATTATTTGTGCATTTACTGCTTTATCTAAATTTTCAATCACTAAAGTTGATTTCACAGTTGGCTAATTTATAAGTTTGTATATCAGTCATCAAGTACAGTTACATTCAGTCAGCAACTTATGTAGAACTGAAAAATAGAAACCCTGTTTCGAATTTTAATGTTGTTGAAGAGAGTTTTAAAAAGATAGTGACACGCAAAGAATATAAGACAGTCTTTAGCTGGAAGAAGTGCTTGTCTTAGGGAGCACATACATAAAAATGCTCAAGTAAATCAGATGTTCTGTTATTACCTAATCTAGCTATAAGTGTATGGGAAGTGTCAACAACTCTTTGCTAGAAAATGAAACATCCCAGAAATGTATGATTAGGACCCAAATCCTCAATACAAAGTAAGTTTCATATTTTATATTAAATGAATATACTGTTACATATTTTATTTTTACTTTACTGTTACTGTTCTGTTATTGTTTCAGTTATTTTACTGTTATAGTTACTTTACAGTTCTGTTATTTTTCCTGTTACTATACTGTTATTGTTACTTTATTGTTCTGTTATTGTTACTGTTTCTGTTACTAAATGTTACAGTTACTTTACTGTTCCTGTTATAGTTACTTTACTGTTACTGTTCTGTTATTGTTTAAGTTATTTTTACTGTTCTGGTTATTGTTACTGTTCCTGTTATTATTCCAGTTATAGTTACTGTTCTGTTATTGTTCCTGTTACTTATAATTAACTATTACTGTTTCTGTTACTAACTGTTATAATTAATTTACTGTTCCTGTTATTGTTACTGTTCCTGTTATAATTAGTTTACTGTTACTGTTTAGTTACTGTTCAAGTTATTGTTACTGTTCCTGTTATTGTTACTGTTCCTGTTATAATTAGTTTACTGTTATACTGTTCTGTTACTATTCAAGTTATTGTTACTGTTCCTAGTATTGTTCCTGTTACTATTCTGTTACTGTTCCAGTTATTTTTATAGTTACTTTACTGTTACTGTTCTGTCATTTCCCTGTTATTTGTTACTGCCATGTTATTGTTCAAGTTATTGTTACTGTTCCAGTTATTGTTCTGGTTTACTGTTCTTGTTATTGTTCTGGTTATAGTTACTGTTCCTGTTATTGTTCTGGTTATAGTTACTGTTCCTGTTATTGTTCCCGTTATAGTAAATGTTCCTGTTATTGTTCCAGTTATAGTTACTGTTCCAGTTGAAGCTACTGTTCCCGTTATTGTTCTGGTTATAGTTCCCATTATTGTTCAGGTTATAGTTACTTTTCCTGTTATTGTTCTGGTTATAGTTACTGTTCCTGTTCTGGTTATAGTTACTGTTCCGGTTATAGTTACTGGTCCTGTTATTGTTCTGGTTATAGTTCCTGTTCTGGTTATAGTTACTGTTCCTGTTATTTTTCTGGTTATAGTTACTGTTCCTGTTATTGTTCTGGTTATAGTTACTGTTCCAGTTATAGTTTCTGTTCCTGTTATTGTTCTGGTTATAGTTACTGTTCCTGTTATTGTTCTGGTTATAGTTACTGTTCCTATTATTGTTCTGGTTATAGTTACTGTTCTGTTTATGTTTTTGTTGTTAAATTTTCAGTTTCATTTCTATTACTGTTACATTACCTTCTTTTAATTTAATTTTATATAGTTTTAATATAGTTTTAATATAATTTCAATTTAATTTTAATTTCAATTTTAATTTAATTTTTAATTTATATAATTCAGGAATGATCTGAAACCAACAGTTGATCTACCACAGTATAAGAGCGCAAAGGTTTCTTTTGATTTGAAACACTGGCTAGAAAATGGATGCTGACCATTTTGGACTGAAGAGGTTAAAGAAGGAAGCCCTTGAATATTTAGCTATTCAATAATTTTTTGGAACAACCAATTCTTTGTTTTACTGGAACACCCAAGGTTGTGAATGCAAACGTTTGAAAACCTATAGCTCTTGGCAGAGAACTACACAGGTAATTATTTTGATAGTTTTAGTGTTATTTTTTCTTCTGTGTTCATATAAAGAAAAACATAATCCCTAAAAAACGCCCAAAATGACAAAATTGTAAATATTGTTTGATTGAGTCTGTACATGTACAGTACTGGAAAAGCAAAGTACTGTCCATGCTTCCTAGCAATGGCTTAAGCAGAATTCAACATTTAAACACAAAAAGCCTTGCTAACACTACAGTAAACAGCAACATGTATCTGGAACCAGATGTTCAGGTCTGTGTATAATTTATAATACATTTACTGAGCTTGATGTTACAAGTGTGTTGACCAATTATCAAGCTAAAATTGTTCCCAGAAATACATTTTTTTCTAGACAAACATTTTTAGGACCATTACAATAGTAATTGCTCTTTGAAGGTCAATATTTTGCTCTTGTGCCTTTGACCTGAAAATCAATATGGGGCAGGTTCCTACCAAGTTGCATAAACCAGGGCTTTTTTTTATCAAGATAGTGATTTGACAACCATCAGGTGGCATGTGTATGTATGAACCATCCACGCACCCCGCGCATCCCTATATACTCTGTCTTTTTATGTGATGGTATAAAACTCTTAGTCTCATGTAGTGGTACTTTATATCTTTCATGCTGATAATCAGTGGTTTACAAAATTAATGAAACAACAAAATTAATAAACTGAAGTATTCTGAAAGTCTTCAAGGCTCATTATAACTCAGAAATGCTTTTATTTTCTCAACAGCTTTTTCATTTTGGTGTTCTTTTATACTATCCAAAAAGTAACTCATTAACCATTATCCTTAACCTTCTTTTTATTTGTTGGTTTTTGGCAATTATAAGTACAGTTATAGTGAAATAGTATTTTATATGGAAGTCAAAATAGTATTTTGTTTACATTTAGCTACTCTGATGATAATTTATTTCACATTTATCACTACTTTTTAAATGAGCATCTAACATTCTCTAAAACCATGTTTGCCCTTTTCTAAAGATGAAAACTTTATTTGTTTCTTATGCCTTTAATGGAATTTTGCAATCTTTTATCAAGAGAACTATTTTAACCAATCAAAACCATGCATTCATTTCAATACTAGTTTATGAACAATACTAGTGTTTACATCTATATAAACATGATAATTCTGGTTATTACAAAAAATACAAATCATGCTACAATAATTAAAGTTTATTATATCATACATTATATTATAAATTTTCATATCACAGATAGAATGACATACCTTAAAAGACAAAATTATTAATTTTGAAGTGAGCTAAACAGCCCTATTACCTTTGAAAAGCTTGAAAAATACAAAAGCAATTGTCTTGAATTGAGCATAATTAGAGCTAAATCAATCTTTAAATAGTAAATAATTATTATGACTTACAGAGAAAATGTCAAAACATTTTAACATGTAGTTTGAAAGGTGCTGTTCAAGTTAAGAATCAAGACATGTTTGTACATCATTTATACCATACTATATTGAAACTATTATCAATATAACAAGAGCCAGGACCCAGCGGGTGCCAGTCCCAGCTTTTTCTTATTTCTAAAGTCAAACACATCAGAGGTAGAATATTATAGATTTCCTACAAACAATTTTTTATGCAACAAATTTGACAGTCAAGGTCATTTAAAAATCGAGGTCAAATTTGAATTACTCTTATGTCAGTTTTGTCAGGTTCGATGAATACTGCCATATAAACACATCTGTGGATGTTTTCAAATTCAAGTTCTCACAATTATCATGTTTAAATGTTGAATTCTACTTAAGCCGGTGCATGGGGGCATGGGCAGTAGCTTGCAATTACCACTATGTCTGTAGTCAATGAACAAGCTCAATCAAAGCGAGCCTGCCACATTTTCAATTTGTCTCTATTTGAGCATTCTTTAAAAAATTTTATTTGTCTATATCTGGTCATATCAGATAATTTAAACATGTCAGTTTTGTCATATCAATTCTTCTGTCAAAAAATGAATCAAATCTATAAATAAATAACAAAGTTTTGACAATTTATGCAAATTTCAATAATTTGACCTTGATGGTCAAGGTCAAAAAAGAATTATTCATCATACGGGTTTTGTCATATCGGTTCTTTTGTCCAAGTATAAATCAAATCCATAAATAAATAACAAATTTTGCAAACTTACGCATCAAAATTCACAAATTTGACTTCAAGTGTCATGGTCAATGAAAGTCAAGTTCAATTAAATTTTCTTTAACATTTTGCACAATCTCGAAGACAATATATTCATTAATTATAAAGTTATAGCCAATTATAACAAAACAAGAACTGTCGGAGGACAGTAACGCTCGACTATTCGAAAATTTGTCACAAGGGTGTTTCATTGAGTATAATAATGCTTACCTATATGAATACATAAAATTGTACGAAAAGGTACAAACCCTTCAAGTTTCAATACAATCACAGAGAACAAGTGTGTGAAGTTTCAATCCATTCCCTTCAGTAGTTATGGAGATACCAGCTTACACACAAAAACTTAACCACGAATTTATGAATCGAAAAAAAGGGGAAAAATTATGCGAAAAAGTAAATCAGAGTTATGGGACTTGTGCCAATCATCTTAAAAAATCACAGAGACCAAGTGTGTGAAGTTTCAATCCATTTCCTTCAGTAGTTATGGAGATACCAGCTTACACGCAAAAACTTAACCAAGATTTTCTAAGATAAAAAAGGGGCATAATTATGCAAAAAAGCAAATCAGAGTTATGGGACTTGTGCCAATCATCTTAGATAATCACAGAGAACAAGTGTGTGAAGTTTCAATCCACTCCCTTCAGTAGTTATGGAGATACCAGCTTACACGCAAAAACTTAACCAAGAATTTCTAAGTCGAACAAGGGGCATAATTATGTAAAAAAGCAAATCAGAGTTATGGGACTTGTGCCAATCATCTTAGATAATCACAGAGAACAAGTGTATGAAGTTTCAATCCATTCCCTTCAGTAGTTATGGAGATACCAGCTTACATACAAAACTTAACCAAGAATTTCTAAGTCGAAAAAGGGGCATTATTATGTAAAAAAGCAAATCAGAGTTATGGGACTTGTGCCAATCATCTAAGATAATCGCAAGAGAACAAGTGTGTGAAGTTTCAATCCATTCCCTTCAGTAGTTATGGAGATACCAGCTTACACGCAAAAACTTAACCAAGAATTTCTAAGTCGAAAAAAGGGGCATAATTATGTAAAAAAGCAAATCAGAGTTATGGGACTTGTGCCAATCATCTAAGATAATCACAGAGAACAAGTGTGTGAAGTTTCAATCCATTCCCTTCAGTAGTTATGGAGATACCAGCTTACACACAAAAAACTTAACCAAGAATTTCTAAGTCGAAAAAGGGCATAATTATGTAAAAAAAGCAAATCAGAGTTATGGGACTTGTGCCAATCATCTTAGATAATCACAGAGAACAAGTGTTTGAAGTTTCAATCCATTCCCTTCGGTAGTTATGGAGATACCAGCTTACATACAAAAACTTAACCAAGAATTTCTTAGTCGAAAAAGGGGCATAATTATGTAAAAAAGCAAGTAAGAGTTATGGGACTTGTGCCAATCATCTAAGATAATCACAGAGAACAAGTGTGTGAAGTTTCAATCCATTCCCTTCAGTAGTTATGGAGATACCAGCTTACATACAAAAACTTAACCAAGAATTTCTAAGTCGAAAAAGGGGCATAATTATGTAAAAAAGCAAATCAGAGTCATGGGACTTGTGCCAATCATCTTAAATAATCACAGAAAACAAGTGTGTGAAGTTTCAATCCATTCCCTTCAGTAGTTATGGAGATACCAGCTTACATACAAAAACTTAACCACAGGGACGCCGACGCCGACGCCGACAAATGGGTGACTGCATTAGCTCGATTATTCTACGAATAGTCGAGCTAAAAACTGAAAAATAACAATAACTTCATGTTCAAGGTCATTTAAAGATCAAGGTCAAATTTAAGACATTGTCCTTGTGGTAGTTGTGTTTAAGTATGACGACAATCTATTCAAAAAATAACTAAATTATAGCCAATTGTAGCAAAAATCAAGCAATATTCATTTATTTGACCTTCAAGGTCAAGGTCACCGATGAGCTAAGGTCATAATCAATTTGGTCTAGTTGAAGGTCGTGTCCAAACGATTGTTGCGTTCAAGTATGAAGACAACCATTCATACATAACAAAGTTATAGCCAATGATAGCAAAAATCAAGCAATCTTTTTGGATGAACAAAGTTGTTGTACAATGTAAACCATGTCTGTGAAGCTTAATAGAAGAGCCTAAACTTCACTAAATTCATTGTATATGGATATAATTCTCCATTTGCACTAAACCATGTCATTAATTGCACATTTTAATACGTATTATTATTACACACAAATGCTCCTTGGCCTAAGTATATTGTCTCCACCATTATTAGACAATAACTGATACTCTGATTGTTGTTATTGTTGATGTTTTATAATATAATTATGTTTGGAAGTTTGAGATAATTTGGCACAGGAATCAGGATCCATTTGTAGTTGTTAGAATATTGTTTTTACATTATCTAATTTAATAGTTTATCCATAACCTCCCTCGTCATTTATACATTTTTCCACAAGATCTCGTAGATTTGGGTTCTCCATTGCTGCTGCTATTCTCTCCTTGTCATTGATTTGTTTATTAACTGAAAAAAAAAGTTAAAAATTAAGTGCTCATTTCAAACTTATTAAATGTTACATTTTCAATTTATATTAGGTTGCAGAGTTGTGCAAACTTGAGGAATTTCCTTTTCAGTTATGATTAATAAGTACATAAATAACTTTCTATATCACAATATATAATTCATATATGAAATTACTAATTAGATGTTAATTGCTTGTATGACTGTAACAGTAAGTATAAATCTCTCCAGGTAAAGTGTATAATCAGAATAATTATCATAGTCAATACTGTAAATGTAATATCTATGTAATTATTCCAAGTGTATGAAAATACAGACTCTATGGATTACGAACCCTAATGAATCGTTTAACATTAGCTTATGTCAAATTGTATCATGATAACCCAAATACACTCATTTTCTTTATCAAAATTGATACATGCATTTCAAGAGTCAGGTGCAGCCACATGTAAAAATAGAAGTGTTTACAAAGAAATAGAACTTGATTATACTTGTAAAGCAAAACAAATTTTCAATTTTATTCCAATGCTTATCTTATGATGTTAATAAATCTTAAATGACTTTTTGCAAAGTAAAATTATGTGCTATTCTTCATGATGTCATCAAACCTTGACTGTATAATGTTCATGTTGAAAAATAATTCTGTAAAATTTCTCAAATTTTTTATACTTTAATATAAAGTATGCAAGTTTTTATGTGTTTTTCGGTAATTATTGGGATTATAAACTTTCGTACTTTCATCAGCAGTGTCATGACTTCCTTCCTTCACCAAAAATATCAAGCTGAAAATAAAGAAAGTGTGAACATAATTATTTACCTATATGTTACTGCAGTTATTGAGAAACAGACAGTTATATAACTTGAAGTTACTTGATACTGTCGCAGTTTTTTTCTACATTTTCTGTTCAAATAAGTACTTACTTTGGTATAATTAAAAACATTATAATTAAGTGGAAAAGATGAAACTATAGCAGTTTTGCTAAAATATTTAAAAACCCTAATTACCAAATACATTGTAGTTACCAGGTGTGGAAACTGTTTTACTTAGTAAATCATTGATGCTGCTGATATCTTTGATATTGATTAATTTCGAATACAATAAACAAGATATTCTTTAAAAAATCTCACCTTATGTTTTTCGGGAAAACAGGTTATCAACTTCCTTCTTAAGCATAACCCTGCAATAAACATTTTTTTGTGTTTCATGTAACAGTCAAAAAATCAATTCTGTAAGTAAAATACTGTTATTTAATAAATTATTAATATTTAACATTTTTTTATGTATCAACTGCAGAAGAAAACTTGATTCACATATCTTATGAAAATTTTGAAAATGTATTTAAAAGAAATAAATTGTGACGTGAACAAAGAAAGTAATCAACACATTGCCAGTGGCACTTACAATCCATGTAAATTACCAACAAGAGGTAAAAATACCGGTATGCAAAATCACACAGTAGGTCAGAATATGGTGATAAGTACTGCAAAATCAGTGTTAATCGCAAATAACATGTAAATTATTAATTGAATCTTGAATCTTTTTCTCTTTTCTTAAATTTCAGTATATTTTTCTCAAGTCTTAGTAATTTTCTTGAAATATTTTGGCTCATCTGAAAGCTTGCAGCTTTAACCTTTTTTTCCAATCAAATTTAATACTAGTACATCAATATAAACAAACTGCTAATCATACTGATAATTGAGAAACATATTACAATGTAAATCCATTATTAAAATTAATGATTATATTGGTCAACTTTATTTATAGATGAGTTACATACATGTTGCTTTAAATTAAGTAACTTATCTTCATAGAAAATGTGGCTCTAACAGAAATTTTAATGGTATATGACTTAACTTACCTATTAAAGAAGCTAATGAGCAATGTGGCACTGTTGGAACAAATACTATTTTCACATATAATTTATCAAGTAACTTATCTTCATAGAAAATGTGGCTTTTACAGAAATTTTAATGGTAAAACTTAACTTACCTATTAAAGAAGCTAATGAGCAATGTGGCACTGTAGGAACAAATACTATTTTCACATATAATTTATCATCAGAAAATTCCTCCACAGATATATTATCTTCAGATACAACATTTAATTCTTCCAGCGTCTGAGGTTTTTCTGGATCCCTTATATCTTTGATAAGATCTGGAGAAAAAAATAAAATGCTGCATAATAATAGTTACTTCTACTAGAAGTAAGGCTCCAACGTTCACAGTTTTTTGTAAACGTTTACACGATTGTTAAGAACCAAAACGATACTGTTTAAACAGTGGTACATCTATGTACTATCTTACACCATGTATTCGAGTCGCCATATGATGACTTACTTTCTATTTTTGATACATGTACAAATAAATAATGTTTAAGGCTCATCATGATTGAATCGGCATACATTTTCTGCATTGAATTTGTTTCCCCATTTTGCTCTTTTTTTTAAAGATCAAAGGAAAATCAACATTACAAAAAATGTATTATGTCATGAGCGAATGCTGTGTGGAGGGTTGTAAACACCCATTTTCCGTTTTTTTGTTGTTTTTTTTACTTTGGAATAAACCAATTTGAATTAGAATTGATAAAATCCATGATTACAGGCAATGATTAAGATATTTTGTAAGACAATATGGTCATTTCTTGTAAACGGTAAAAATATTGTAAACGTTTACGAATGAAAATCGAAACATTTCCGTTTAAACGTGTAACCAATTGGGGGCCTTAACTAGAAGAGAGTTTCATTTAAGCTTTAAACTTTCTACTCAATCCTGGATGTAATATATGCATTGAAATTTTGTTTGAAAATATGGAATATGAAATAAATATTGTTTAAACAAATAGTTACTTCATATAAGATATAATCAATCTCACTAGTTTATTCATTTATATTATAATATATACATGTGTATATAACATTTTCAGCCCAAATATTCTGAAAATTTGTCAAAAAGGTTGTTTAAGTGATTTCTAGCTCTAGTTTGAATACCATTATGGGTCACCTTAACCCATTTCTGCATGAACATTTTGTGAAAAATTGCTGTTTTCATTGAAAAGTCTCCCGTTACAAGTTCAAATTGCTATAAAACTATAAAAAACTGCTTCAATACTAATCAAACTTGGCACAAATGTTGACTGGTCCTGTTTCCATGTCAACAAAGGGAAATATCAAAATTGCCAAAAATCACTATTTTGCGTAAATTTTTTTTCATCAAAATTGATTTCAAAGTGCTGCAACTTCTGAATGGATTGAGATAAAGTCAAAGGCTTTTCAAAGTTGGTTACACATTACCTTATGATCGACCTGGGATCATTTTTAGCGTCTCAGAAATCAAAAAAAATTTTGGTGATAAGGGGGACTACTGCCCCCTTCAAACCCCCAAACAGAAGGGCCCGGGGCACATCCCCCTTCTGGCAACCCCCTGATGTATCTTTTGGATGGGGGCGGCGCCGAAAAAGTAGCCTCTTTTTTAAAACACATTTCTCAAACAAAAACAAATGTTGTGGGCCTAAATAAGGCATTTTTTCACCATTTGAGACAACAAAAAGGGGGGGGGGGAGGTGTTAAAAGGCGTGTATATCTGCACAACAGCCCAAATATGGTAAAAAGACCTTGTCTACTTAACACTCAAGAGGTAATATTTTTAGACTTCTATCCAGGAAATTGGTCAAAAAGATTTTTTTCCTGAATCAGAAAAAATGTTTTGATGATTTCTGGGATTAAAACAGGTTGCACAGCCAAAATATGGAAAAAAACCTTATTAACAGTTCTGAGGCGTAACAATTTCAATCAAAATATCCTGGAAATTGGTCTGACACAAAGGTGGAACAGAGTCAGAGGGGTCGGTCTATTTACCCCAAGACACCCCAAGACTAATCTGGGACAGAAATATACACATTCGTCATTGTTAGTCCTAGGACTAACCCAATTAAGTTTTATAACTGATTATTTACCTGTCATCATGGTCTTGTTACTGTTCAAATTCAAAACATCAAATATTGTCAATTATGTATGGGCTTTTTACATAAAATATATTCTTTTTATAGAAAAAAATATTGTGATTTAAATAAATTTTACTGAAACAATAAGACTTTGTTAATCTAAGGAAATGTGGGGCAGGTGAAATAAAAAAAAATATTATAAAACAGAATATGATCGATTAAATAATCGGGCATCAAAAATATGCCACTGACATAAAAAGACATTGTCGCAGACTTAAACTTGCACTACACCAAAACCTCGCAATCTTGGAGTTATTTCATTGTTGTAAACTATTTTGCCCCAAAAAAGAATATAATTAATTTTACATTAAAAAAATATAGGGAAATAAATGAATGGAGATAATTCAATGTGTACATGTGAAATCACATAGTTACCTCCCGTAAACAAAGTAAAATTAAGACCGTATAAAAAATATATGTCAGTAAAAGTGTCTTGGGGTGGTATTGTGGTGTCTTGGGGTATCTTAAGGTAGTCTTTGGATAATCTATGGTAGTCTTGGGGTGTCTTGGGGTAAATAGACCGACCGGAGACAGACATTTTTCGGACAGACTGATATGACATCCGGTGTTTGTTTTCACTTAATTCTCAAATCAAACACAATCTTTACACCTCAAACAGTTTACCATAGACAGTCTCCCTCATCATCACCATCTCTGCAGTCATGACTTTGGTGGTCTCCTGGTTGTCTCCCTTCACCTCAGCTGACACTGTGACGGAATCAACTGATGTCCCAACATCTATCTGTTGTTTAACTTCAGTATCATTTGAACGGAAAGTTAGCTTTGAAAATAAATTATTTATTGACTGCATAAGTCACCTTATTTATAAATCCTAAATACTAATTGTTACTTCAATCTCTTAATGGGACATCAGTGAACTGGACAACTTTTTTGAAGAGTATCGTCGGTCGAATGAACACCGCTAAATGTTTTCCATATTTCGATGCAGCTTGAACAAGCTTAGATAGACATTGCATGATTTGTTTCAGTAAGTCACATGTACAGACGCGGGAATCTTTATGACATTTCTGTCAAAATAATACCACTTTAATATCATTTATAAGCATTTATTTTTACATGAAATCATTGGGTTCTTCAGTTGATAAGAGTTATGCCCCCTTATAAGCAAATTTTCTGGGCTGACTGTGTTTATATTTGGCATACATGTATGATATATCAAAACACAGTTTTTAATTCTGTTTTCGCATCAAGTTATGTCCCATTTTAAGCAAGTTTTCTGTGAAATTATTGGTTCCGCAAAATATGTACTATTAATGAATAAAAATGATTAAATTGTCATCTGGCACGCAGGTATTCTATGTCAACAACAACAACAAAAAATACTTTTATTTAGAATCAGGTCAATGATCAAAAATATTTTTTCTAATTATGGGCACAGGTGAAATTAGATTTTCTTTGCAATCAGTTTACTTCAGAATTCAGATAGAGTTAATTATGTCCCTTTATATGCAAGTTTACTTTGAAATTATTGGTTGCCTTAGATTATCCAAATTATTACTTTTTGCCTTAAGGGTTATGGCATTGTGCCTTTGAAAGAGTATTTATGTATTAATTATTCAAAATGCTAACTTGAAACTTCATAGGTGGTTATACTTTGTTAAGGAGGGGTGCATTGCACAATAATGATGACTCTTCTTTTCAGAAATTTAGTAATTTTTTTTACTTTTCATGCTTTAAATTTGTCCAGAACATAACAGTTTTTAGTATATTAGATTAAAACTTATAAACGGATATATCTCAATGAGGAGCAACGCAGTGCACAAGTTTGATGATACTTTACTTCTTTGTCTTGATGTACTGTCCTTTATTTCTTTTCTTGTATAATATTTTGTCCAGAACATAACTCAAAAGGCTTTAATTATTAGATATTAATTCGAAACTTCGTGGGAGAATAGATCACAGTAAGAAGAAAAACATACAGTTGATAAGAATGACAACCCTCCACATAATAATTTTGGCATGTTTGCCCTTTGTTTTATGTGACTTATTGTCCAAACAAATAAATCACACAACAAATCACTAGCTAACATGACATCTATCAGTATAGCACACAAATATATTATGTTGTGCCTTGATATTACAACACACACATGATAATCACTCTTAGTTAAAACCGAGACATGTTTAATTTTTGTGAGAAGGGTTAATTATAGAGTATATAGTACTTGCAAGAAACGCAGACAATAGAGATATACATGTATAATGAAAATGAGTTTTGCAGAGTATATAGTACTTGCGAGAAACGCAGACAATATAGATATGTAGTAAAATGTAGACGATATAGAGTATATAGTACTTGCGAGAAACGCAGACAATATACATGTAGATATATAGTGAAAATGAATTTTGCAGACATGCATTTCTTTTATTAACAGTATAGAACATATAGTAAAATGCAGACGAAATATAGAGTATATAGTACTTGCAAGAAACGCAGACAATATAGATATATAGTGAAAATGAATGTTGCAGACATGTATTTCTTTTATTAACAGTATAGAAAATATAGTAAAATGCAGACGATATAGAGTGTGTAGTACTTGCGAGAAACGCAGACAATATAGATATATAGTGAAAATGAATTTTGCAGACATGTATTTCTTTTATTAACAGTATAGAACATATAGTAAAATGCAGACGATATAGAGTATATAGTACTTGCACGAGAAACGCAGACAATATAGATATATAGTGAAAATGAATTTTACAGACATGTTTTTCTTTTATTAACAGTATAGAACATATAATAAAATGCAGACGATGTAGAGTATTATAGTACTTGCACGAGAAACGCAGACAATATAGATATAAAGTGAAAATAAATTTTACAGACATGTATTTCTTTTATTAACAGTATAGAACATATAGTAAAATGCAGACGATATAGTGTATATAGTACTCGCAAGAAACGCGCAGACAATGTAGATATATATAGTGATTTGATATGATAAACACATTTTTTTAATGATAATTATATTTATATTTTTACAACATATTGTTTTTTTTTTAATAATTATAAATGCTTTATAACATTGTTTTATTAACTATTTGATGATTACTTTGTAAATGGACTGAGTATAAAAATCATAATTATTAATAAAATTATTATTATTATCAGGTACGTATATTAACGTTAATATACTTGCCTGTTATTATTATTATTACTAAAATATAATTATAAAAATATTTCTATTCCTTAAAATTCTAATTTATTATTTTAATATTAATACCTATAAATCTCTAATATCTTTAAATTTTTATCTTGAAATACAAATCTAAAAACAGCTTTGCAGGGTGTAATTTACACCTTCTTGTTCTATATTGTCCGCGTTTTGTGAAAACACTCTATATCTAGTGTGTGTGTGTGTGTGTGTGTGTGTGTGTGTGTGTGTGTGTGTGTGTTTGGTTTGTTTACCCTCGCCACCGGAATGAACCATACGGGCGAGCATATACTTCTTTTCCTATATCTATATTGTCTGCGTTTAACTATATATCCTATATTGCCTGCATAAGCGTCTGCGTTTTAGCCTGTGCCATATTTAGTGCTGTTCAACCTTCAAAATGGCTGCCAAGATGAGATTCTTGAGCAGCCGCAATGTTTTTTTAGCTAGACAATTATTCAGGTTGGTTAATTTGACATTTATTTTTCTAGTGTGGTAGCTATATTATATTCCAATTATTCGAAGGTGCTAAAATTTTATTATAACCCATGTTTTTAATGAACTTGCAAGCAAAATCCCAAGGGCGAACCGAGATATAAAAGTACCCCACCCAGTCATAATTTCTTTGGCACAGACAATACACCCTTAAACACTTTCACAACTAGCAGACGACAGGCTATTCTATCTATCTCTGGATACTGCCAACCCCTCTTACGAGTGTTAAAGGCAGGAATTTAGTGCACGTCGGATTGTTAGTAAAAGGTGAAGAGAGAAGCTAAAAAAGAAAAGTCCAAACATTGACATGCTTGGAAGGTGAGACTGAAAATGTATTCTAGTCATGGTTAAAATGTTAATAGTGAAACAAGATGATAAGAGATAAAATAGTTTAAAAATACTGGGAGTAAGACTAGTACTGCAAACCCACCACTGCCTGTTTGAACTGACTCAGGTTGGGCAGGGTGGCAATGTTACTAGGAAGTTTATTCCATAGTATAATGCTATGAGGGAAGAAAGAGTACTTATGGCAGTGTTCAAAATTAGCAGTAGTCCTATAGTCCCAGACTACTAAATTTCTCCTCGGGCTACCAACTTTTCACAGTAACAAGCCCGACCAGGCTACTGCATTTTCAGAGGCAATATAAACAACTGTTTTGAACAAATGAATAATGCTAGTGAAATGTCTTTTGGGCTAGTGAATATTCCAATCTGGTAGTCCGACCAGCCTAGTGGATTCAAATCCTAATTTCTTACACTGTTATGGTAGTCGGAGGATACCTGTATTTGGCGTAGGGATAAGGGATGCATATGTCTGGTTAATCTATGTGGGGTTTCAACATAAGTTGGGAGATTAATTGCAACTAGGTTATGGTATATCTTATAAAACATTATCAGTCTACAGTCCAGTCTGCGATGTTCAAGGGATCGCCAGCCCAGTTCTTCCTGCATGGCTGTGACACTAGAGTGAGGGGAGTAATCCCTTTTAACCCATCTTATTGCACATCTCTGGATCATCTCAACTTTGTCAATATTGGTTTTAGTGTAAGGAAACCAAATAGTTGAGGCATATTCAACCTGTGGGCGGACCAGGGACTTGTATGCTAGTTCTTTTGCTTTCTCATTTTTAGTAATGACATTTCTTTTAATAAAGCCAAGGGATCTGTTTGCATTGGAAGTTATTCGAGATATATGTGTATTGAATTTAAGGTCAGCAGATAGATCTAGTCCGAGATATTTAGCATTTGTAACAGACTCTAGGACTTGGCCATGGAGCATAATTATATTTGTGTTTAATTATGGTTTTATTTTTGGTGATATGGATGACTTGGCATTTTGAAGGGTTAAACTCCATGTCCCACTGCTTCTCCCACAGAACCATATTGTCTAGATCATGTTGGAGAGTTGGGGGGGTCTGAGGAGGAATTGATGGTTAGGTATACAGCAGTGTCGTCTGCAAATAATCTGACTTGGGATTTGAGGACAGAAGATGGTAACTTGTTGATATATAGAAGGAAACAGAGCGGCCCTAGGACAGAGCCTTAGGGCACTCCAGAGGTAACTGGGACTTCAGATGAGCAGTCACTATCCACAACTACAGTCTGTCTACGGCCAATAAGGAAGGACTGTATCCAGTTTAGAATTTGAGGACAAACACCATGTTCTTGAAGGGTATCTAAGAGTTTAAGATGGTTTACTTTATCAAAAGCTTTGGAGAAGTCAAGAAGTATGAGATAGATCTGTTTGTTTGCCATTTGAAAGGTTGTTCACAAGGTAATCAGTAAGGTCAATGAGTTGTGTCTCACATGATCGTCTTTCTCTGAATCCATGCTGAAGATCAAAGAGTATGTTGTGGGTGGTAAAGTGAGAGGATAGTTGAGAGGCAACTATGTGTTCGAGTGTTTTACAGAGGATGCATGTAAGGGAAATTGGGCGATAGTTTGCTGGATCACTTGTATCACCTTTTTTGTAGACAGGGCATACGTTTGCACGGGTCTTATTATTCTTATCAGTAGTTTTTCGAGTAAAGATAACCAGTTGCGTATCTCACTGTATAAATCGTATGTAAAATGGGTGGGGGGAAAATCCCGGGACGCCTGGGATCCGGGATCGTATTAGATATAGAGGGAAAACTAATAACCTATATTTGTGTTGATTATTGTCGTAATGAAAGGCGATTAAACGTTAAGTTTTTATTTTTATTGTCTGTAATGAATGTTAAATTAATTTAACTTAGGATATAAATATATTTAGAGCTATTTATTAACAAACTTAAAATGCGGAAATCACATATATGCCTATAATTAATTGGAAGAATTAAAGACTATATTCTTGAACTGGTCAATTCCTGGGATCCCTATATGTTTTAATACGATCCCGGCTTTTCTGAAAACTATATTCTTGAACTGGCCAATTTCCGGGATCCCTATAAGTTTTAATACGATCCCGGCTTATCTGAAAAATATCTTCTTAGACTGGTCAATTTCCGGGATCCCTATATTTTTTAATACGATCTTGAAATCGTTAAAAAATACGTTATTATTAAAGATTTTTTATTACTACTACAAATCAAACTTATTCAGAAATCTCTACAAAAACATTCAAATGATGATAATAATAATAATACACCAAGAGTAGGTGGTCAATTCCCGGGATTACTATATGTTTAATGCGATCCCGGGTCCCGGCTTTTCTATAGGTGATCCCGGGATTTTCCCCCCACCTGTAAAATGGTCAGACATATTATGCTAAATTAACAGTTAAATTAATTTACACTCAGCCTCAAAGTACTTTATACCGGGATGAACTTTGTACGGGAAATGTCCAGATATTACAAATTATGCTTACATAAAAAAAATTCTTTTGTATGCAAGTGTTTTTCACATTTATTTCATACAAAATATAGCATTTTTATGAAGAAAATTCGAAGCTTTAATATTCCTATTCACATAAATGTGTTTACCAGGTACGTATATTAACAAAATCCATGTTCTAAAACCCTAACCATCGGCGTAGCTACTATTAGGCTATGTAGGCACGAGCCTACAAGTTGGTCAAGAAATTGACATTTTCAAAAGTCCCAAAAATACAATAAAAACAGGTGAGGGTGGGGTTGGTAGTTGGTTCAAGCAGTATAGTCGTGTGCATGATTTATCATCCTCAGTAAAGTGAATGACAGACTATTCTCTGTCTTACAAGTTCCTCTCCCTGACGATTCTCTCCCAAACCATTTCCTCCCCTGACGGTTCTCTCCCAAATTTGAAATATGCAGACAGTAAAATCTCCCCCAATTTTTTTTATAAGATCATTTTAGTTTTTTCTTAATCTAAATGAAGAATGTGTTTGATATTAAGTTATATTTTATATTATGTTTTATGTTGATCAGCTGAAAAGTGCCTGTAAATTAAACACCTTTTCCAGGTATTTTAATCCTATCAACACCTTCATTGTGTGTGCATTGAACTCCTGTCTTCATTTTACAAAAGTATGTAAAAAATTCTAACTTTATCAATTAATAATAAACTTACCCATTTATTTAACATCTAAATACTTAAATATTATAATAATGTGTTAAAAATGAAAACTGGGAGGAACTGGCTGCTTATTTGCAAATATGCAGACAGTTCTCCCCCAAAATAGGGAGAGAACCGCCAGGGAGGAACTGGTAAGGGAGAGAATAGTCTGACTACCAGTAAAGTTTGCATCTAATCAAATTCATAGTTTAAAACTATTGTTCTGATAATTTTCCTTGAACATACTTGGGAACGCACATTTTGCTCTTTAATCTGAACTTGTTTTTGAGCTTCTGTGGGCTAAGCAAAATGATCACTTATCTGTTATTACTTATAGGTTTATTTGTTACCAAAAATTTTTTTAGACTACATGTATTTTTCTTTTACATGGCAAATCGTATGATTTCAATTTTTTAGACAGAAACTTTGTTGTTTAAAGTGAAAAATATAGGCAATTTAGATATATCTTTAATAAATGCTTTATATTTCAGAACTCTGGCAGATGACAGTAGTGTAAAGGTCACAGGAGCTGAGAGCGTATCTGCTGCTATGGGAGAAGTTGCTCCAAAACACACTGAGCGTGACACAATTATTGTCCCCAGTGTTGTAAGTGTAGTGTGATATTTTGAAATTTCCAAACATGAATACCATACTTAGTTAGTATAGGCTGTAACTTCCAACAATTGTCATTTGTTTTAAATTAAAACAAAAGAATCTGCAGAGTTAAATATGAGTTGGATTAATACTGTGACATGAGACCAATCTCATGTAGGCCGTCAAAAGTGCTTTACTCTTATAGTTATAAAGATTGGTTGGTTTCCAGTTTAGTTGCATCATAAGTGAGTGACTTTCTAATTACCCAATGCAATAGAAAAGTATAACTATTAAGAGATAATGGGTATTCAATAATTCCAGCTACTGCCTAGTTGTGTGTACAGAGACAAAAGTAGTAAGCTAAAAAGTTAAATGAACTATATTCAGATTTTATAAATAAATGTTCACTGACAGGCTACCATCAATTTATTTAATAATATTTTCATAATAGTTTATAATGATTCATCACCACTTAAATTGGTTAGTTTTTTTTTAATAAAGTTTGGTATGAATAACATTTTGATATATTACAGGAAGACATGTCACTGCTCAATGGTATGCCAGAGGAGCATGTCAAGACAAGGAGGGTACGAATCTACATGCCAGCAAGAAATGCTATGCAGAGTGGAACTTTTGGTCTTAATAAATGGAGAATGGACTATGATACTAGAGAACGCTGGGAAAACCCTTTAATGGGCTGGCAATCTACGTAAGTTAAAAAAAAATTCTGGAAAAAAAGGGTATACTTTGAAAAAAAATGTTAATTTGATTGGTTTTTTGTAGAAGTATTCACGGTTCCTGTTCACTTATGCAGTGATATAATATAGTCATGAAAACTTGTAGGCCTGACTGACTTACAGAGTGATTGATTACAAAGCATTTGAATTAACTGTACCCCAATGTATTATTGAACTATAATGCAAGAAAGATTGATAATTACTTCTATTCTATTATCCTTATACAAAAAGAGTTATCAGAAATATGTAGAACTATATTTAGCAGAGAATTATCAGGTTGTTATTTGACTTTTTAATGCTACAACTGGAATCATACAGTATGTCTTAATTATAAGGTGTGCATTAGACTGTAATAATGAATTTGATTGCTCAGTCTGTTAAACGACGAAATGCATTTGGTTTGAAGTGTGTCAAAATTATACACTTATGCTGGCCAGTGGTCAATACATGACTTTACTCAGTGTAAGAAATTAGGATTTGAATCAACTAGGCTGGTCGGACTATCAGTTTGGAATATTCACTAGCCCAAAAGACATTTCACTTGCACGATTCATTTGTTCAAAACAGTTGTTTATATTGCCTCTGAAAATACAGTAGTCTGGTCGGGCTTGTTATTGTGAAAAGTTGGTGGCCCAAGGAGAAATTAAGTAGTCAGGGGCTATCGGACTACTGCTAATTTCGAACACTGTTTACTGCTGGTCAATACATGACTTTTTTCACCCTTAACATCTGAATGATATGTTGTTGCAATGCAGTTTTTTAACTTCATACTATGAACTTTTGATTGTGAGCAGAATAGAATAACTTTTCGGTAATTTTATGTATAACTTTGTTAAAAGCTTTATAGTAATCTACTGTAAAAACATAGTGTTGCAGTAATGTATTTCTACATTTTACAGAGTCAGTGGTTCTACTGTGGTGACTTGTGAGATAGATAACGCATCAAGGGGTACCTTGGGCCCTCCTCAATTGGTCAGTAAAGTTTGAAAGCTGACAGGAGTTTTACAATTTCAGTGACATTAAAACCACAAAAATGTCCCCGAAAATCATCACACTTTTGATAAGCATGGAATACTTAAAATACTTATATCTTATAATGTAATGATGTTATTTTCATCAGAAAATTATGGAATGTTAATAAAAGGTCTGTATATCCATATATCTTGCAGGGGTGATCCATTATCCAATGTACATTTGGAGTTTGCAAGCAGTGAAGCTGCAGTTGAATTTTGTGAAAAAAATGGTAAGAATCTTTAATTACCTGCTTTGACATCTTAAGGTAAAACATAATACTCCACTTTTTGAAGATACAAATGTAGAATGTCATGACAATAGCTTTTCCTTGGTTAATACTTTTATTGAGGTCCATTCCCATGAACCATCAAGGATATTCAACTTGTAATACTTGTTCAGTATCAATATAGAAACCCATTTTGAAAAAGCAGATAATCCATAAGACATAAGTGCATTTCAGTGGTTCTTTTTCCATTTCACTAAAATCATCATAGATATATGAAATATTTACTCAAAGCTGCTTAGTCATCATTAAAATGGAAAACTTTTTCAAAAAGGTAAATGAAAATATTTTTTATCAAAGTGATGATTTTCTTTTTTGGGGGAATTTTTCATACTATAAGGGTAAGTTTTCTTGATGGTCAATAAGTTCTATGTAATCAAAGCTATTGCTCTCTTACTTGTTACTTGCTTATATTCTGTGATTACATTAGAACAACTTATTAACTATAGATGACTGTTTGCTAATATTAGATACGTAATTTTACAAATAAGTAAACTCAACTTAAGGTAGTACACCTCTAATGCACTCCACATTGAAGAGTACCCAAATAGGCTAGAATCACTGTCAAGTGTAATATTGAAACTGAGGGGCGTGGGTTCAAACCCGAGAAGGGGCAACTTTTTTTTCTTTCTTTTTTTTCTTTTAAACATTTTTTATGAATCTTTCAGATCCCTAATGGAAGAAAAAAATGTTTCATTTTAATTATATAATTATTGTAGGTATTTATTTGCTAAATAATGCCAAATTTGATAGAAAATATGATACCAGATATTTTCAAAGTTTAATAAAATAAAAACTATACTGTAAAAGTATTTTATACTTTGCAAGACCAACCAGTATACATTTAAGAAAATTTAGGCAAACTTTGAAAACAGCCCCTCATTGTGGAAATTTTAGGGCTATTTTAAATAAGGTTTTTTACATAAGGAAATGGTCAAATAATTGTTTAAATTGGGTGGGGTAGGGTTACATTTTTAGCTCGACTATTCGATAAGAATAAGTAGAGCTATTGCAGTCACCCGAGCGTCGGCGTCGGCGTAACCACTTATGTTAAAGTTTTTGTAATAGTTCAAATATTTTCAAAGTCCATTGACATATGGCTTTGAAACTTTGCACACTTGTTCATCATCATGACCCCAACCTGTAGACAGGAGGAGGTAACTCTATCAAGCATTTTGACAGAATTATGCCCCTTTTTCGACTTAGAATTTACGTTAAAGTTTTTGTAATAGTTCAAATATTTTCAAAGTCCATTGACATATGGCTTTGAAACTTTGCACACTTGTTCACCATCATGACCCCAACCTGTAGACAGGAGGAGGTAACTCTATCAAGCATTTTGACAGAATAAAGCCCCTTTTTCGACTTAGAATTTACGTTAAAGTTTTTGTAATAGTTCAAATATTTTCAAAGTCCATTGACATATGGCTTTGAAACTTTGCACACTTGTTCACCATCATGACCCCAACCTGTAGACAGGAGGAGGTAACTCTATCAAGCATTTTGACAGAATTATGCCCCTTTTTCGACTTAGAATTTACGTTAAAGTTTTTGTAATAGTTCAAATATTTTCAAAGTCCATTGACATATGGCTTTGAAACTTTGCACACTTGTTCACCATCATGACCCCAACCTGTAGACAGGAGGAGGTAACTCTATCAAGCATTTTGACAGAATTATGCCCCTTTTTCGACTTAGAATTTACGTTAAAGTTTTTGTAATAGTTCAAATATTTTCAAAGTCCATTGACATATGGCTTTGAAACTTTGCACACTTGTTCACCATCATGACCCCAACCTGTAAACAGGAGGAGGTAACTGTATCAAGCATTTTTTTTACTATCAAGCACTAAGAATAGTCGAGCGTTGCTGTCCTACCGACAGCTCTTGTTATACATATTAAAACATTTCATTTAGAAGCAATCATTCTGCTTGTTTAATTTGTTACCTGAATGTCATAATGTGTTTCTTAACAATGAGCAATAGGAAAACATTTTTCATAATGATGATAATTTATTATAGATAATTTAAGAGTTTCCTCATTTCTGAAAAAGCCCTTCTAATTGCAAAGCTTTAGTTCAGAAAAAATGTCCGTAACTCGTAAACCACACAGTAAATTTTGAATACAGGTGACCTTGAAGACATGTAACTGTCCTATGTTGTCAATTTTACAGTTCCTTATAGTCCCCATTAGTGGTGTTCTACCTTAAAAGACATCACTAATAGCGATGTACTGCTTATAATGAAGCTGTCTGCGCATTGGTCCCGGCTCTTGTTTTCAAATTGGTTGCCTCTTGGATATAATGATATGGATATAACAATATAAATTCGGCTATATCGTTATAAGCAGAATTTACTGTGTATCTATTTGTTTACAGTGTATATATATATTAGCCTCATATTTGAGCCGCATCACGATAAAACCAACATAGTGCGTTTGTGACCAGCATGGATCCAGACCAGCCAGCGCATCAGCGCAGTCTGATCAGGATCCATGCTGTTCGCTTACCAACTCTATCACAAGTAGAGAAACTGATAGCGAACAGCATGGATCCTGATCAGTCTGCGCGGATGCGCTGGCTGGTCTGGATCCATGCTGGTCGCAAACGCACTATGTTGGTTTTGTCGTGACGTGGCTCATTTGTTTTGTTGTTAAAATGTCATTTGTTTTTTATGTTTTCAGGTTTGGAGTGTTATGTAGACAAACCTCAGAAGACAACATTTAAACACAAATCTTACGGAGCAAATTTCAGTTGGAATAAGAAAACTAGGGTCTCTACTAAATAAATTATACTGTAATAGATTGAAGAAGGATTTTTTTGTGTGTGTTTTTTTATAACATGAATATGAAACTGAGATCTACATTTATTGCATTACCCATTGGAAACTATTCAATGCACAGCGCATTCAGATTTGAAGTAAAGTTTTCCGTCATAAAGATTTTGCACAGGGATAAAATTTCTACTAAAACGAAAGAACTTTATTTTACAAGAACTAATTCAGTTATAAACATCTGTTGGAGTTTGCTAATAAAAAAATTATTTAATTTTTCTATGATGTAACTTGTAAATGAAAATATTGTTATATAAATTGTGTTGTTTTGTTGTCTGTACATCCATTAGACTAAGTTATTGTTGGTTTCTTTTAAGACATGTAAGTTAATTCATGTAATGTACATGTATGTGCGCCCTCCATATTATTATACCTTTGTATATATATCTGAAATTTTTTTTTTACTAGAGTCTATTCATTCAAATGATGATTCAGTTGCTGAAAAATTGATATTTGCCAGTTAGTTAACCAGGAAAGTCGGTAAGATTGGCTAACTACAAGATATGACCAAAAAATTAATGCATTAAAATTTTCGTAAAACCTGGACTCAAACATTTATGAATCCTACAAAGTTTGTCCTTACATCTGAATTAATATTTTGGCGTTTCCCATAGCACCTATATTATCCACGGAAATGATATTTTGGCTCTTTAGATTAATGTTAATTCGAGTAGATTTTCATACATTGTACGTTAACTTATCCCAAGTCCCTATTTTCATTTTGTCAAAGCAAACCACATCCATCGTTTTCATCAGTATTCTTAGTTAACTTTTACCAAACCTTGTGACGTTTTTATGCCCCCACAATGTGGGAGCATATAGCGTTGCACTTGTCCGTCCGTCAGTCCGTCCGTACATCCCGAAATCTTGTGAACGCAACTCCTCTTAAACCGGATGGCAGATTTTGCTTAAACTTACAGGGATGAACAACCTTAATGTGTAGATGGTAGTAAAGGAAGGAATTTTCGCTGCGACCAAATTTTACAGAATTATGGCCCTTTGTTGATTTTTTCACTATATACTATGTAGAAATTTTGTGAACGCAACTCCTCTTAAACCGGATGACAGATTTTGCTTAAACTTCCAGGGATGAACAACCTTAATGTGTAGATGGTAGTAAAGGAAGGAATTTTTGCTGGGACCAAATTTAACAGAATTATGGCCCTTTGTTGATTTTTTCACTATACTATGTAGAAATTTTGTGAACGCAACTCCTCTTAAACCGGATGGCAGATTTTGCCTAAACTTACAGGGATGAACAACCTTAAGGTGTAGATGGCAGTAAAGGAAGGAATTTTCGCTGCGGCCAAATTTTACAGAATTATGGCCCTTTGTTGATTTTTTCACTATATACTATGTAGAAATTTTGTGAATGCAACTCCTCTTAAACCGGATGGCAGATTTTGCCTAAACTTCCAGGGATTAACAACCTTAATGTGTAGATCGTAGTAAAGGAAGGATTTTTTGCTGCGACCAAATTTAACAGAATTATGGCCCTTTGTTGATTTTTAGTTTTCAACTTGTGGCACATGTAGTCCAAAAAATATTTGACCTAGAGTCATAAGATTGACAGAACAGTGGCGTGTGGGGGCATCAGTGTCCTATGGACACATTTCTAGTTCTATCAACTTTACTTCGCCTCTTCTAACCATTTGATAGCAAGTAAATGTAGTGACTGGCTTTTGTTACCAATATAAAATAAAACCAGGTAACCTTGAACATATATTTACTTGAATCTATGATGGTTAGGGCTAAAATATGTTCTACCAAATCAACCGATTTCAGCTTTCATTTGAGCCGCGTCATGACAAAACCAACATAGTGCGTTTGTGACCAACATGGATCCAGACCAGCATGCGCATCCGCGCAGTCTGATCAGGATCCATGCTGTTCGCTTACAAACCCTATGGCAAGTAGAGAAACTAATAGCTAAAATTATGGATCCTGATCAGACAGCACGGATGTGCAGGCTGGTCTGGATCAATGCTGGTCGCAAACGCACTATGTTGGTTTAATTTAATAATATTTTATTGTATATTTTGTACATGATAAATTCACACGATCTAACATCATTATCTTAAGCATACATACAATGTTCATCAAAAGTGTAAGACCAAAAGTTATACAAACATTACCTAGGGTCCTCCCCTAAAGGCTTATCTTGTTGGCTTAATGATAATATAGTAACTGTGATTTTTAGAAATTATTAGATATTTATATTATAAGCGAGATTAGTTTCATGTATTTTAACTGGTAAAAAGAAATCGCTTAACCTAAAAAAACATACTTAAGCTGTATATCATATAAAAAAGATTCGGTTTATTTCGATTACAAAATGAAAAGAACACGACTAGTTTTTGCTGGACTGAAATTTACAAGCCATTGTTTAGACCATGATGTAATTGTGATAAGGTCTTTATTTAGAATTTCTTCCTTATACAAGACATCTTTAGATGAGACTGCCAACGAACTGTCGTCGGCAAAAAATCTAGTCACACTTATCTTATCATCTTAAGAACGCGAAAACTCTGTCTTAAACCCCCCATGTAAGACAAGTCGCGTGCTTTAAATGACGTCATTGACGCGCGCCTTTTATGAATGAATCGCGTTCTTAGGATGACGTCATTTTTCCGTTATGAATGAATTTGTATGTTCATACGCTACTATAAGAAAAAAGTGCGTAATGAGAATATCAATTTTCATAATTTCTGTTCCGAAAATAATTGATATGTAATATGCAAGAAAAAGAATCAAACACCAGTTGTTGGTACAGACGGGAATATCTAGCTCTCGGGTAACTGTTTAGCGGAAACTCGGCAGAGCCTCGTTACCGCCGTAAACAGTTACCCTCGAGCTAGATATTCCGGTCTGTACCGGCAGCCGGTGTAAGATTCTTATAATTCCCGTCTGTACCGACAGCCAGTGTTTGATTCTTTTTCTTGCATATCAATTATTTTCAGAACAGAAATTACGAAAACCTATATTCTCATTACGCACTTTTTTCTTATAGTAGCGTATGAACGTACAACTTCATTCATAACGGTTAAGTGACGTCATCCTAACAACGCAATTCAATTCATTCATAAAAGGCGCGCAGCAATGACGTCATTTTTAAAAAGCACGCGACTTGTCTTACATGGGGGTGTAAGATGGGGTTTTCTAGGACCGGTGTAAACGGTAGATTATAAGAATCTTACACTGGCTGCCGGTACAGACCGGAATATCTAGCTCGAGGGTAACTGTTTACGGCGGTAACGAGGCTCTGCCGAGTTTCCGCTAAACAGTTACCCGAGAGCTAGATATTCCCGTCTGTACCGACAGCCGGTGTTTGATTCTTTTTCTTGCATATTACATATCAATTATTTTCAGAACAGAAATTACGAAAACTGATATTCTCATTACGCACTTTTTTCTTATAGTAGCGTATGAACTTACAACTTCATTCATAACGGTAAAATGACGTCATCCTAAGAACGCAATTCATTCATAAAAGGCGCGCGGCAATGACGTCATTTAAAGCACGCGACTTGTCTTACATGGGGGGTGTAAGACAGAGTTTTCTAGCACCGGTGTAAACGGTAGATAATCCTGTCTGATATGCAAGAAAATCCTGTCTGATATGCAAGAAATGCTGCTCCCCATCACTGGCGTCAGTCGACACAGCAGCAGCCATTACTGTCCTAAAATCTGGTTGCGACCGAGCTGGTTCAGCTTCTTCTACCTGCTCCTCTTGATCCAATGATTCGGATGCTTGTGCTGGTTCAGGTTCTGGAATGAGCCATCGCTCATTTTTTGTCTTCTGATATCTTCTACAGCACTTCTGAAATAAAACCAAAAAAAAAAAATGCATTTGAAAAATAGTCAACATGTTCAACATATTAACTACGCAAAACATCAGTCTGTTGATAGCGCAAATTTTTACCTACGTTTGAAAGTATTAAACAAAAACATGTCTTGCACTTTGTTGTTCGCTTAAGACGTATACCACCTTGGGTTTTGGCCTGGCCTAGCATACTTAACACCTTTCTATATTAATCAGAAATTCGCTTCGAAAACAAATAAAAATAATTTGAGAATGGCTGGCTGCCAATTAGCTAATATACAGTAATTTATAAGTCAACCATTCAAAGCAAAGGTTCAAGTTAGCATGGTTACAGAAGCAACGTACATAATTAACATCCGCGTCTTTAATGTCCTCTGGCCTTTTCTTGATCAACGAGCTGAGTTTTACGGACATCCGGTCTCTCAGCTGTCTAAGGCTCCCCGTAGTATAAACTTCCCTGGCGCTAGGAAGAAAAATATCAAGATTTTCTTTTACTTCCTCCATGATTTCTTGCCAGCTCTTGGGATGGTTCACATACGCTCTTAAGATAAGCAACGTCTCCTCTTTACTTATCTTGACATATTTCCTTCGTCTCTGAAGCAAAGTACCTGAAATAATAATAAGTTAAATGTTTTAAATAAGTCAAATATTTTATCTTGCTTGCTTAACTAGTGTATTATATAATTGTATGGGAAGACCAAAACCAAACAATTTAATTCATTAGCCTGTGAAATGGACACATTTAAAGGCAGTGCTAACAAAACACAGTAAAGCGAGATAAAGAAAGAATAATATAATCAAGCACACTGAAAGGTAAGCATTTTAGTACATCGAATTTTATTTAAATCCACTTACCTCCTTTGTTGCTATCCATTATTTTTTTCTCAAAGATATATAATTCTTTTAACACGTAGCGTAAAAAATTAGTGTAATGTACGAACATTGAACGAAAAACTTGTGTCCAATATTTATTTTACCAAGATATATATGCAGTGCCATTGCTGAAATTAAGAGTCACAAGTCAGTCGGAACGATATGGAGACATCGTCGCAAAGTTTTACCACGTGTTGTAACGATTTGCTATCGGATTAATTCTATGAATGTCGACTGATAATAAAATAATAAGATAAATACGCAACTGCAGTTCATTTTCTTTGTTATTGTGAGACGACCCCTTTCCTTTACGGAATACATATACCTGATAGTGAAACTGTACAGATTCATTTAGCGCACTTACAAATATGTTGTCTAACTAAATAATACAATAGTTAATTAAATATGTTGTGTAACTAAATAATACAGTACTTAGTTAATTAAATATGTTGTCTAACTAAATAATACAGTAGTTATTTTGATATGTTGTCTAACTAAATAATACAGTAGTAGTTAATTAAATATGTTGTCTAACTAAAAAATACAGCACTTAATAATTAAATATGCTGTCTAAATAAATTATACAGTACTTAATTAGTACACATAAAAATCAACCTGCATAGGTACTGAACTATGAGATTTTGTTCGATTAAAAAAGTGTCCATGTCATTAAAAAAATTTGTTTGATGAGTAGCTTTCAACAATTAAACAGAATACTATTACATAATGTATTAAAGTCTACGTCAAGTTTTATTTAAGCAGTTCAGCTCCTGGTTTTTGTTTGTAGATATGGAACTTGGCAGCGGGTAGTTGCCAAACATATTGTAATACACAAGATCCTTCCACGACCTGTTTCTATATTTAGCTTTGTTGATATGGAATTGTCCTTGAAATTCTTCCTCACTTGGTCTCCAGCTTTCTACGGGCTGAAGATGTTGCATCAATTTCTGAAAATAATAAAAAGGCCTAAAATATGTAAGAGCACTAGAACTCCGCTTCATAATTAAATACATATGGAAGTCAGACATCTAAGTCTCCTGCACATAAGGATCACTATATACTCGTACATAATTATATTCCTAACTCATGGAATACGTACAGTATGCAAAAATTTAAGACCTAAGTTGAGTGATTGATTTAAAACGCAAAACTTATGTTTCTTAAAATATGTTCAACTAATCTAATACCTGCCAATACGAAGCCTCTTTTGAAGTATTAACTGTGTAAAGTCCTTGAACTAACATTGGGCTCATTACTATAGCAACGCTGAGCCAGCCCATAACTCTGGCTGTTGAAGGGTAGGTATAATTCCCGTATGACGGCGGTACATATTCCACACAACTTACCAAAAATATAATCTGAAAGAAAATATTGTTTTATGTTAAGGTTGTTTTCTATTAGAGCAAACTGAGGGGAAATAGTCTTTATATTTCCACATTAAATATCAATTATAAATGTATGAAATTAGACATACTAAGATTCAGAAAGGAATAGTTTGTTTTTTTCGTTCAAGGGCAAACATGTTATAATATTGTTATAATACACATAGAACATGTGTGATCGCGCTGACTGTGAATTTATGCTTCATAAAGAGAGCAAATGTAAAAAGTGGTATACAGATATTCACACAAAATAAGAAATTACTATAAGTGTACAAGCAATGAATAACTTCCCCGAAACTGTAACAAGACACCAAAAATATATACTATTTTTAAAGATAAAGTATTAGCATTTTGAGGCAAAATGAGCTTTTAAAATTGTTTTTGATAAAGTAAATGGAGCGGTAATTTCCTGGAATTTAAAAAAAATGACAAATGTTACATTTAAAATTAACAAGGGAAAGCAGCCTCTTCCCACAACAAGTCAACTACTTCAAGCACCGGCATATATAAACACAATTAAATATCGTTAGATTTTTGATACGTTTACTCCTATTACATGAAAAGTTAAAAATCAAAACTTTGATTCTAGAAAAGAGTTGCTCTGGCATCAAGACAAAAATGGTGCACTGCCACAAGATATTTTGATATGATATAGTTCTGAAAAGAACTATGTCATATTTGAAAATTTACATCTAGTCTCAATAAAAAATGCAAGTTATTAGAAGAATTGACAACGTAGCAAACGCAAGAAAAATGTATGACTTAGACCTTTAAAAGATATTCAAATACAAGTCTTCATAATTCAAATTCTTTAGATGACTATCATATATATTAATGAATCCTGACCAGAACAATTAAAGGTGTTATAAATGCTGTAAGGAATCTAAGAAGTCCAGGTATAGGCCTGCCTATCATCATGTGTACGTCGTCACTAAATCTGTCCATACCTAGAAAAAATACCCCGGTATTTTAAAGTGGAAGACAATATCAAATAAAATGTACTATATATATAGTGCAATTATAAGAGCATTGGAATTCTTTAGTTTAAGATATGCAATATTCCAAAAGCATTCTCCGTTTATAGAAATGAATCATCTCGTGTTATCTCACTGCTTTCAAAATGATAACTGGCTATGTCAAATGCCAAGAGTTGCCACACGAGCTAGCAACGGTTAATCATATATCCCCTCGGTTTATTTAGCTACCGTTGATATTAATAACTTCACATATACACGCACTTTGTTCAGTTTCACGATGAAGTAAAGAATTGCGTTAGCTAGTACATCTTGAACGAAAAGTAATTCTAATATTTGAAAATATAACTATAGGAATGTAATCAAATAAAACAAAATCAAATATACAAACCATACACCCAGGCAACGACCACAAGTTGAATAAAAGCAAGTATGGGAACAATCATTGCACCATTGTACCAATCCGTCCATAGGAAAATATAAGCACCTGCCTGTAAAATGTAAATAAACATGTATAAGATTTTCTTTAACATTGTCAACCAATACAACAAATCATTTATGTACAGCTACGTATGTGTAATTGTATCTTTTGGTATCTTCGAAAAATGCACATTATGAGTGGGAAATAGCTTTAACCGGAACACGTTTATGTTGGCAATCAATATAAGGCTGGTCTCCGTGTTTAATAGGACGTTTAAAAAGTGTGCTATGAAATGTGCTATGAAATATCTATAACCAAAAACCATATTTACCCCAGTACACGTGGGCAATGAACAAAGAAAGAATATAACTCCTGTAACAACAAGTGCATGGATCCTGAAACCACGCCGTACCCTCGGGAAAACATCTCCTATCAGCTGCATTAACATGTCCATAGGAACCAGCTGAAATCATGAAAGGAATTAAAGCTTCATATCTCCAGAATATAAACTTTTTTTCAAAAATAAGTGATGGCATAATATCGCTTTTACTATGCATGAATATGAACGCATATACAGTTCAATCAAAGATATACATGTATAAAAATATCAACTGATTGTTCATTAGTGTCCTTTTCTGATTAAAACACATCTTCTTATAATAGGACGCTGATGTGGCTTTTGTTTAATGTAAAACACGGTCACTGTTAATGGCGGCAAATATCGAATGGTGCATTTTAGAGTGGGAGCAAATGTATGTTGACCCGTTGAAATGCATATGTAAATTTATCCAGCTGTGTACATATCATCTTAGGAGAATTTCCTGAGCACCGGGGTAACGTAAAGTGTAAAAAATACTGATAAGATAGTTTTAGAATCGGTGAATTGTCCGAGTTATTGATACCTTTTAGTGTCAAAATCTACGTGAGTTTTTTTTCAAGACGATATTCATCAATATTTTTTTTTTATAAATTGAATACTTCTTCGTAGAATTTATGATTTAAAATAAATAATTATTTATAAAAGATTGATTCATTAATAATGTAGGGTTTATATATGAAGTCTTAACCAGGTCACTATGTCCTCTATGCATAAAAGATACTTCTATTGGAATACTAAGTGGTCTCTGGCCCACATGAAACTATGGTTTACCTGTCCATCAATTCCTGTTAGAATTATAGCTGCCAGAAAACATACAGTCCAGATCTGCGGGAACGGTAGTGACGACAAGGCCGTAATGTATGCTACTATACCAACAGACATGCCTGCAAATATGGGATATGAATTATTGTAATTACACTCTGCTTTAAATAATATATTATTAATGAAGTTTACGCTACAAACAACTTATTAATAGAGAGGAAATTATCGGTAAGACTTAATCGACACTGTAACTGGCTGAACGACCACTGACTCATCTCTTCACATTGAATAACAGCACAAAATCATGTTAAAGTTATTTATGTATTTACTGAGTTTTGTTTTTGGTTTTACAAATAATTTTCCATGAAAATTGCAATTATAAGTTTTTATCATAAAACTTGTACAAGCATTGATAACTACCATGTTTCATTGACGCCAAAAAGATAACATATTGTATTTAACCACGAAAACATTTAAAAGCTGAACGTCTGCCAGAAAACACAGAATTATAGTAATCTTATTCCTAAAATACTGTGTAAAATAATACTTGTATTGATAACATCTGTGACCAAATAGAGGAACAAATGATTTGATTTTCACTCATTTTTTACCCAAGTGCAACAACTAATATCATTCAACCTTGTAATGTAATAAAGCGGCTGCAGGATTAACAGATTAACAAGGAATGTCTTACTTTTATTTAAAGGAGTTTGTGTGGAAATGTTATAAAAGTTCTTCAATAACGCTAAGTAGTTTCTTACAATTATATTTTAGAATGGCTATGTGCAATGTATATGTATAAATTTTATGTATTGATATAATGAATCGTACAATGATAACAAATAAAAGATTAAACTAAATTCATCAAGACAATAGAGCATACCGTTTTCATGTCCCTTGTTTTATCATTATATGGAAAGATCACATTAAGCTAGTAAAATTGATCAGGTTTGTAATAAATAACAGAAGTGGATAACGTTCATGACACAAATTGAGACGATGTGCAAGCACTGTTACCAAAAAACGAACAACTGTGAGAATGTGTTTAGCTCCGGAAAAGCACATTTTAATACACATTAGACAACCGACATTTTTTAATTATCATAAAACTAACAGATACACAATTTTAAATACTGTTTTAAAGCTGATAATTGATAATTACAAAAATATAGGCAACAGGTTCATCGCTTGTGCCCTCATCGTAGATTTTTGGTAGCCAGGTTCGGCTAAAATAGCTAGAACTGGCTAAAATATCCACTTATGGAGTTTGTACCAGCCTGTTGAAGATAGCTTTGTCGACCTTTGCCTCTCATTGAAATTGGTTGCTTTTTACCGGGTTCTTATTTATAATATATAATCACTTAATCTTTTAAGTTATATCTCTGCAATTCTTTAAATTAAAAAATAAAATTAAAGAAATATACATGTAATAAAAAGCTTATCTCACTTACATCTTCTTGTCTATCTTGCAGTAAATATGGCGTGTTCCCGCCAATATGGAACCTCTAAGTTCTAAGAGCTAAGACCTAAGTTCTAAGATCTATGTTCTAAGATCTAAGATCTAAGATCTAACTTCTAACTTCTATCTCAAAACGGCCTCAATGGTACGGAAGCCCATTGAGGCCGTTTTGAGTTAGAAGTTAGAACTTAGATGTTAGATCTTAGAACCTTAGGTCTTAGCCCTTAGAACTTAGATGTTCCGTATAGGCATGAAAACGCCATATTAACTGCAATATAGATAAGAAGATGTGAGATAAACTTTTTGATATATTTCTTTATTTTTCTATTTTTTTATTCAAAGAATTGCAGAGATATAGCTAGAACGTTAAAAGATTAGGTGATTATATCTTATATATAAGGACCAGGTAAAAACAACCAATTTCAATAGGAGACAAAGGTCGACCAAGCTATCTTCAACAAGCTGGGACAAATTGACTCCGTAAGTAGCTATTTTAGCCAGTGCCGAACCTGGCTAACAAAAAAATCTTCGATGAGGGACACAAGCTTTAAAACTGATATATCTGTTGTCTGTAACCCAAATTATCATATTTGAAAAAGTATTTAAAAATGTGTAACTAACAGTTTTATAATAATTAAAAACTGTTGATTTTCTTATGTTTATTAAAATAATTTGATTATTTTTTCTATTGCAGAATCTTCTTTATCCCTTTTCCTGATTATTAAAATGGACTCTAAATTAGCGTGGAGGTTTGGACTTTGGCTGTTTGTTTTTACACCACTAACAAGTGTTGTAATAAAAGATTTAGCTGTCATTCTCAGAAGGGCTAGAACTGATTAACTTTGTGTGGCATGTAAATTGTAACGACAAGTTAAAGCCATGTTGATTGTGCATCCTCGGAGCGATCTGTACATTCCACCCATCATATGATCAAATAGCGACAACTCGCCGGCAGTGATAGCGTCATAATACGCATATGAATTGAAAATAATTCAACGCTAGCATTGCTTCAACCCATATTCCAGCTTTAACGGCACATAACGAGTAGCAAGGTTGAACAGTTTTATGCATGGAAAGAGTGTAGCAAATCAGCGTTTAGAATCCTGGCAAGGATTACTTCGTAAACAAGGTTGCACTGGCGGATATCATTTTTCAAGTATCTTATTGATTTCAAAGTTTCGACATAACAAATCGTGTACATATGGAATGTCTTATTATGGACTTGATCCAAGCAGAACTCTACATGACAAGCGAAATCCAAAAGAATATTGAAATACTTTACGGAATGTATTTTGTACCTGGAATCTATGGTGGGCATAACTGTGATCATCGTGTTGATCAAGAAGACATAAAGATATGCCAAAACTTTTTACTAAAGGGCCTCATTAAAACCGAGAAACTTGTTCGAGTGTTGTCGCCGAATAACGGAAAGTTTTTGATAGCCATTAAACGTACCTTGAATTTTTACAGATGATTGTGGAACATTTTTACAATGACTTACAATGAACATGCAATTGGGTTTCGTGTTGGCATTCATAATTATTAATTATAGATTATATTATTTTTTGATTATTATTTTGATTATATTGTTAATGATTTATTGTAATTTTAACATCAGATTTATGTGATTTCAGTCTGTCCTAATAATATACATGTACTTTGTGCTAAATGATGCCAGGAATGTTGTTGAAAAACCTATTGAACTGTTTCAAGATAACTGTTAATGAGGATGGTTACGTCTGGTGAAGTCAAAGCTTCAATAAATGGTCCTATCAAATTGTGTGTTTATTCTACATTTAAAATTACAAGTATGTACACTTTGCATCAGCGGTCAATGCTTCCGTGTATCCATTTCTACAAGGTCAAGATCACAATGACCACTTAAATTAAAGTTAACCATTGCCTTAATTTTAACGAAGTGCACTTCTGTTTTAATATTTGATGAAATCATCAGCGGTTTGATACTGATTGGGGTTACCATGATATATAAGTATATTAAAATACAAGGATTTGTCTTAATATATAGTATTGAAAAAATGCCATTTGATATAATTTCCTAAGGTGTTCTGCACAAATGATCGATGGTGTGACCTGCTCTTGACTACAAATTGGAGCCATAATTATATTCAAAAGGAATCGCATTACTGAATAGGCACAATATAATTTTACAAAGAAAGAATATGGTCGTCATATTGGCAGGGTACTGAATGATGGCTTATCAAGCAATTGTTGCATAACTAGTTATAATACTAGATGTAAAGCGTGCAAATGATTATGAAAGAACTAAAAGCGATTTTTTAAAAAAAAAACGTCATGCCATTATTGTGGCTATAGTTGCATATTCCCTTAAATTTCAGTGACAACAAGGCAAATTACAGATTGCAAAAAGTATTTTTGTTTAATATGCAGTACAATTTATGATTGTTTTTTTTTTGTTTTTTTTTTTTTTGGGGGGGGGTGGGTGGATTTTCTTTGTGTCGGCCTTTTTATCAAATAAGCATCAGCATCAGAAGAACCATATCAACTGATGTCACGCGATTCATCTGCACTTGCACTTGTTACCACGTATGTTTAAATGTGCGGGCCAATGCGGTCAGACAAAATCAAAGTACAAAGGGCCGTGTCAGTGAAGGACCTCCAAAGTGGCCTTAACGTGGTCCAAATATCTTAGAACTTAGATATTAGAACTTAGGCATTAGAACTTAGTTCTTAGAACTTAGACATTAGAACTTAGACATTAGAACTTAGACATTAGAACATAAACATTAGAACTTAGTGATTAGAACTTAGTGATTAGAACTTAGTGATTAAAACTTATACATTAGAACTTATACATTAGAACTTAGTTATTATAACTTAAAAAATCGGTTTTGAAAAAGCTAAAAGAAGGAAAGATAACTCCGTTCTCAAACATTAAACTTTATTCAAGTTACAGTAAACTGCAAAACATGATACAAGACACTTATCTCATTAATTACAAAAAAGAATATCCACAATCTTATCACCAACAAGAATATCACAAGAACTTGTCAATGGCATACACCGGTGCAGTGCGTGCACACTCAAGAAATAGTTAATACTTCAGCTCTTTTACAATAATATTTATGGTAAAGATCAATGATATCTGTAGGTCTACAACAACTATTCATAGGAAAAAGATGTTCCTTTGATCTCAGGGATACCATGAGACAAAATGTCAAGAAATGCTAAAGTTAAGGTAAAATCCAATAAAATCTAGTTCCACCAAATTTCTCTTATATTGAAGAGACTCCAAACCAAGCTGTTAAGTGTACGATGGTTGTTCTTGTAAGCATGGTTCAGATGAAATAAAACAAAATACTTATTTCTAAAAGTTTTGTTAAAAGATTTGAAAAATATAGCGTTTCTTAATCCTTCAGTTATATACAAAACATACATGCACATGAACTTGAAAATTAAACCAGAACGATGAACTAAGAACTTTGATAAACATTTCTGTAAAATGCCTTTGTTTAATGTTTCAATGAAGTATGACGCTATCATTGCGGGGAGTTGTTACTGTTTGATACTTCGAGACATAAAATGGGTCGACTGTACCCGTCGATCGCTCCCTGGATGCAGAATCCATATGGCTTTAACTTTTCGTAACAATTTAGATGACACATATCTTCGCCGAGATGATTTGTGGCTTTGTGTTCATTAGTTCCTTCGGGATCGATTTGTGGCATTAGCCTCATTACAGAATCCATAGACATTGCAACTGGTAGTCAGGCTCTAATTTGTGCAACATCGATCGAAACCTAAACACTTGACACTCCTCAGGATTCCTTCAATAATTGGGTCCCTTACTTCGTCCTTATAGGTGTACGTGTTTTGCGTCAGACAAGATTGTTAGCCTTGTAAAATAAACTATGAATAAGTAATTTGTAATCAGTTCTCAAAATTGTTTTAAGTGTGCCCCTGAGAATGACAGCTAAATCCATGATCACAAACACTAGATACTGGTGTATAAACAGCCCCAATGCCAAACATCCATGCCCATGTAGACACCATTTTCGTTGTCCTTGAAAGGAATAAAGAAGATTCTGCAATAGGAAATAATAATTCAAATTATTTTGTACACAATTACGAAACCAACAAAACTGACAGTTACACAATTTTTAAATTCTGTCAAAAGGTGGGGAATTACACTCTAAGACAGGCAATATATTATCAGTTTTGACGCTTGTGTCCCTCGTCGTAGTGTTATTTGTTGCAAATGTTCTGGTATAAATAGCTACAATGGGGCTAAGAAGCCTCCTTTGCCTCCTTTTTGAAATTTATTGTTTTTTACACCCTTTTTTAAAATTATACATATAAAATCACCTAATCTTTTAACGTAATAGCTATATCGCGCTGCAATTCTTAAAAACAAAAAATATAATTAAAGTAATATAATTACAAGTTTACCTCACATACATCTTCATGTCTATCTTGCAGTCAATATGGCGTTTTCCCGCCTTTACGGAACCTATAAGTTCTAAGAGCTAAGACCTAAGTTCTAAGATCTAAGTTCTAAGATCTAACATCTAAGTTCTAACTTCTAACTCAAAATGGCCTCAATGGGCTTCCGTACAATGGGCTTCCGTAATTTTCCGCTTCGTTCGGTATATGTTGTTTTCACAATTATTTTGTAAAACAAAAGTTATAGCGAACTTGCAACTCGAAGCGGGCTAGAATTGTTATGAAATTTTGTGGATACGACGCAGTTCATATTGCTTTATCCATCGTTTTTCCATCAAATCAATTATATACTAATTTTTAGAGTTTACCATAAACTTCAAAATATAATTTTGCATCATGTACTAAAATTTCATTAAAAAGAAATATTTATTTTCCGAGAAATAATAATATGTACGAAATGATACGACGCAGTTGAAAATAAAATATGATACGACGCAGTTGTAGTTTTGGTATTCTTTTCAACATGGATAATTTTGGCTATATATGTCTATTTCACCGGATAATCACTTGTGCTAGATAAAAAATCTAAGATCATTCGCAGTTTATAGCAATGTTCTTTTAGAAAGCATTGTGTCATGTCCAATTTAGATTGCAGAAGCTACTTTTCAGTTAAACATGAACATGTTACTTAATTTCTCATATAATATCTGAAATAATTTCTTATATTTTCCTATATGTTCACTTTTATCCGTATTTTTTGTTGGCAAAAATATAGAAGTCTATGAACTTGAATCACAAAATTCATTTTGGCTAGCTACGCTCTTAGTAAACTGTGGGTCTGCATGTTCTATGCGATGACTGCTTTTTGTGGTTTTATTTCAAACTTTCACTCTACACTTTAGTTTTACTAGGGTTAAGGACCTCAGGTGCGCCTTTGTGCATTATTTCAGGCAAAATGTTACACCTGCAGAGAACCATTAGCTTACGAAAGAATCAGAAGTCCCTAGTGGTTTTCAAATTCACAGCAGTTAAGTCGGACACACCTCTCTGATTTTTTCCCACAAATTTGTTAACCATCGTCTTAAATGTCAGCCGTACAAGTAAGCAGTTTTTTAATAAACCTCTGGCATGAAGTTTGAAGATTACAAGTATTTAAATTAATTATAAAGTGAATAACATTTAAATTTTTGTTAAAATAAAATATTTCCCTACTGTTTAAGATTACTTTTTACTTTGATATTTCGTTTAAAAAAGGATATGTCAGTGGCTTGAATAGCATATAATTATTTTTCAATGTAAACAGGGGGTAATCCTCTTTGAAGACATTTTCTGAAGAAAAAAAATGTTTTATGTGTCAGTCAATTCATTATCAAATAAAAATCACACTTTAGTATAAAGATATGTTAAGATGCCTTCTCTTTAGTCTGTGGAAAATTCAATGCGATAATCTGACCTAAGTTTTCTCATCCTGGCTTTAATCTAATATAGTAAAACATCTTCAATATACTATTGAAACATCATGTCGTGCATATATCTGTATCAAATTTATCGGTGCAAAGCGTAAAATACCTTTGCAAAACGGACACCTACTTTACAAAATAGTTTTTTGTTTTATCTTTTGTGACCCGAATTTGAAAATTTAAAGTTTATTAATGACACTATGGTGCGAATCCAGAAAATACATTCCGTAAACCTGTTCTCATCGTCGATTAAGAAATGCAATACGACAAAATCAGCGGTAAAGTTCCACGGCGCTGAACATAAAAATGATTGAACGAAACTTATGCAGTACTTGCAAAAATATATCGTAGCTTAACCATTTATCATATAATTTAAAAAAAAATATTGTTCAGAATAAATGACCATTTTTCCTGATCATGTATTAAAAGAGGAATAATACTTTATTTCAAATACCGATTTAAGTTTCTAATAATAAAGCTCATCTTTTCTCACTGATTATTAAGAAAATTAATTCAATAAAATCGGCGTGTAAAAGACATTATAAGTAATATCGGACTTGTCGCAAATTGTTGTAAATTATACAAAGGAAGCCATCTAATTTGCGCATATGAAAAATGTAACCCCCCCCCCCCATTAGTTTCGAACTCATGGGAACAAGTTTATAGGCATGCTAAGGCAGCACTTAAACACGTACGTTGCAATATGGGTGTGCGATCACGGGTTTCAATGTATTTGATAAACATTTTTCGGAATTTGTAGATGCTTATGACAGGTGCTAAAAATGCGACCGAAAAAATGAGGCCTTAATAGAATTTTCCATTTTAGTGGTACCAATGAGTGACTTCTGCTCTCGACTTAAGTTATATAGGTCACTTGTGCGCATTCATAATGATCAAAAATTTGCAAACAAGAAATGTTGTTGGACTTTACTAGCATACTTGAACTAATATGCAGCCTGCAATGAAAATACAACTGCGTCGTATCATATTTTATTTTCAACTGCGTCGTATCATTTCGTATAAATTATTGTTTTCTTGGAAAATAAACATTTCTTTTTAATAAAATCTTAGTACATGATGCAAAATTATATTTTGAAGTTTATGGTGAATTCTGAAATGAGTAAATAATTGATTTGAAGGAAAAAACGATAGATAAAGCAATATGAACTGCGTCGTATACACAAAACTTCATAAAAATTCTGCTCCGCTTCGAGTTGCAAGTTCGCTATAATTTTTGTTATACAAAATAATTGTACAAACATCATATACCGGACGAAGCGGAAAATAGTGGAGCGTGTTAATACATATATTTGGTTTTCAGTCATTTCCAACAAAAAGAGTTATAAACAAAAACATACCTTTTTCGTTCCAAGATGGCGGCGTTTGTTTACATTTTGTAGGATACGACGCAGTTTTGATTCCCAGCCCTGAATAAAAAAGGGCCATAACTTTGAAAAAAAAATGAAATCAAATGCACAACTAGACATGGCATTGGTAATTCCTGTTAAGTTTTTATGAAAGTGACAACCGTCTTTGTAGCTGGCAACACGAAAAAAAACACACCTTGTTATTCAAGGACCATATGTCAGCCTAAATCATTCAATCCTTGAAAATCTGTAAATTATATAAAGTACTTGAGCTACCATTCAATCCTGTAAAGTTTCAACGAAATTGCATTAATAAGTGTTATAAGAGGAGTCAGACAAACATCAAAAATAAATTAATTAAAGGGCGTAACTCTAAAAATATCATTGAACCGGAAAATGCCGACGATATGCACATCTAGACTTGGTACTGATCATTCCTGTAAAAAAGATGAAATTGCACTTGTATCCCCGACGAACAGACGACGAGAAGTGATACTTATATGTCGCCACTACTCGATCTGTAAAGGTGACACAAAAAATGATGTAAACATCATATAAAACAATGACGTGACCAGCATATCAAACATTGATCTAAACAACTTATTGATAAATGACATGACCAATGATGAATGATGTAAGCAGCATATAAAAGAATGATGTGCGAATGATACGGAGAGAGTTTTTTTTTTTTTAAAAAAAGCTTTACAAGCTTCCAACTCAATCCGTTAATTTTTATTTTATGTATTTATTATGTAAATGTGTGAATTATAAATAAAATAAGAATGATGTAAACAACATTTTAACCAATTATGTAAACAAAACACATGTATAAAAATAGTATATGACGCCACAAACATCTAAATCATTGATGTTTACAACATACAAATAGTCACATGCAGACAAATAAAAGAGTGATGTGACTAACCTGTAAAACAAAGATGTTAGAACAGATCGACAAACATTTGAAAACGATCGCACACGCACGTTCACAAGAACAAACAACTTTAACAAGAGCGCGCAGATACACAGGATAGTAGTAACACTACCCGTACACGGATGGGAGATAGTAAATCAGATACTTTTGATATAAACAAGATTCGTTTCAGTTTAAGCTGCTTTAACATTTTTATTATTATAAAAAAAATATTACATGCATATATATTATAATTATGTATAATTTATATGTTATGACAGTTTTTACTGACTGTCTACTTGTCTGAAGCTTTTGATAAATTCAAACACGTCGATTTTGAAAACAGATTTTTTTTATCAAAATATCGGTACGATATCATAAACAACATTTCCAGATATGCAAATAAAATAAACTATGAAACACTTCCTGATCGTCTGATAAACAATATATAGCAAAGCTACATTCGTAACCGACATTTGCAAATACTGTCCTTGACAAACTTTTTAAATTGCGTGTTAAAATAACACAAAATGTATGGGTTGACTGCGTTATTAAGCATGAACGACCGTAATGCTATTTGTATACCAACACTGAATTCTTGTTCGGGTGTATTTGAATTTCTTTTAACAGCTAAGTTCACGATGAAGTATGGCACAAAGCAAAGAATACTCGCCACTGTCAATACAATCATCATAATCGCTATCTTTCTTTCAATCGCATCGGCGTGTTTTCGCTTAGTATGAGCGTCGTGCTCTTTACCAACATTGTTTGCTTTGTTAGGGGAATGTGTGGTGTCGCGGTCACCCTCTACCGTGAAAAATTGCACTTTCTTCTCTGGGTCATTGTTTGGAGTAGACGTAGAAATGTTGACGTCATCAGTGTCCTCTTGGATTGTGGAAGAAGCAGTTTCGGCCATCGAACTATTATAAACGCGTCTTATGCCAGTAGATTCAGATTCAGACATACTACATTTTACGTCGGATAAGTAAGTGTGACTTTCCTTAAGTTTTCTTTGTATCCAAATTTCTCTTGCAACAAAGGTATATAAGATAGCCGTTGTAGATATAACAATTATAAACGTTGCCAAATCAATCAATTGGAATACAGTGACGACCGTTTTCATGTGTACGTCTCTTGTATGAGTACAGTAAAAGCCTCGTATCGTTTTATTTTCCTTTGTGTGAGTAAGATTCACTTGAACAACATCTAAAATAGCGAAATCCCGCACTGATAAAATAACAGCTAGAAATAGCAGTAAAGCTACGCCAATCCTTGCTGATTTTAACGTCAGCTGCCACGATTGCCGACGACAGATTTTTCTAAATCTGTCAACACAGATCAAAATCAAAATGAAAGCTGATCCAATCACTAAGGTATGGTTTGTGAAATACATAATCTTGCAGCCAATGACGTTCTCAAAAGTGATTGTAAAACATAATTCAATTATTTCATCGCAGAACACAACACATGTTATCAAATCTGTAACTGCAAGTGCTGTTATTAAGCTATTTGTAGTAGTTTTCTGAGTTTTAAATCCATAGTACGCAATTGAGAACAAATTTCCAGAAATGCCAACTAACATCACGAACGCTGAATACGCAATAGCTGGAGCATATTCTCGTATTTTTTGTCCATTTAACTCCTCTAAAAGTTTCGCGTTTTCTTCTGTATCATACATCTTTCAATGCGTTATGAGAGAAAAAAATCCACTATCAGATTATACAACTGTCCCGCATTTAAGTAAATGCGTTTACCATTTAGAAGTCATGCCCAAATAAAATGTGTAACGATACTGTCTCTAATTCTTATTTTCTACCAGTGTATAAGTGAAATTTAAATCGACAAATTATAAAATATATATTTTTTTTTTATTAAAAAAAATCAGACATCAATTTTATCTATCTGCTCAACTCCCCTCACATTTGTAAGATGCAAGTGATGCATGTCGGCGAATGCTCTATATATCACGATTATGAAGCCGGACGTTAATATACATATATAGTGTACTTTAATTTTCTCTTTGCATACTACAAATTAAACTAAACAGAGTGTTTTACATTTTTCAATTGCGGAAGTTTAACAATTGAAAATTAAAATGAGTAAACAAATGACTCTCACGCCTTTAATGTGAAAACGGAATTCCTAAAACTTGTTCAATGAAAACAACAAAATTATTCGAATTGTTTTGATATGCAGATAATATTTAAGAGCTCATGATTAAATTTTGTATTGATGTTTGCAACGTTTATATCCCGTTTTATTTTGACTGTTCTTCAATCAAACGACAGACAGTCGACTTACGTAAAAAATCACCGAGTGTGTCCTTTAATGAGCTATTTTGTGACAAAGGAGATAAGGCAAAAATAAGTGTGTATATATATTCTTAAGATTAAATTAAATGAAAATTATTATATATGGTTGGGATGGATTTTCTTAAAACAGTCATCACAAAAACTTGTTACATAATTACCAACGCCCCCCTCCTAACGGAAGAATTACATGGAGCACAAAAATATGCTATTTCAAAAGACTGAGGTATGAATCTGGACTTTCAGTGCAAAAGTTTGATCAATGCTAGATCTGCACATGCAAATAGCAGTAAATTCATTTGAAAAATATAATGAAATAATTCCTGTGTATGTGTCAACAGAAATGCATTTGTATAATTGTTACCACTATTTCAAACCCACAAATTGCGACAAACACAAAATCAATGCAGGATATGCTCTGTTACAGAGTAAATTTCGTGTCAATTCCTTAATCAAGGTATGTCGGCAATTCACCAATGACATTTTTTTTTGCATAGGCTTACGTGGCATCATATATTGTAACAGACTATTTTAAGCTTTGATCTTCACGTGTGACCTTGACGTTTGATGTAGTGGTCTAGGTGTTGCGCATGATTTATGTCGTCTTATTACTGTTAACATTTGTACCATGTTATTTTAAAATCCCTTGATAGATGAAAAAATTATATTCCGCAAACAAAATATACACAAGAACAGACCATGTTTAGCTCTGGCACTTAAGTGTGACCTTGACACAAAGTCCAATTATTGTTGACATTTTTGCCAAGTAATTTCAAAATCCCTTGAACAATAAAAATATTGAATGTTCACAAAATTAACCCTATAAAACATGGTAATCTTTGACCTATAAGTGTGGCCTTGACCTTGGAGATAAGGGTCCGGGTGTTTGCATGAGACATCGTCTTACTATTGTCAACATCTGTGCAAGTAATTTCAAACCCTTTGATCAATGAAAAAGTTATGAACCGGACACCACAAATACCCTCGAACAGACGATGTTGACCTTTTATCAACGAGTGTAACCTTGATCTTTAAGGTAGGCGTCTGGATGTTGCGCAAGACACATCATCTTCTTTGCTAAGTATTTTCATAATCCCTTGATAGATGAGAAAGTTATGAACTGGAAACAAAAAAATCTATATAACAATTTTTGACCTCCAACTGTGACCTTGACCTTTGAGGTGGGCGACTGGTTTTGCACAAGACACATCGTCTAATTATTGTGAACATTTGTGCTACATAATTTTAAATTTCCCTCGATATATGTAAAAGTTATGGACCGGATAAAAAATATACCATGTAACAGATTATGTAAATCTGCAACATTTTCAATTTTGCCGTGTTGGGCTTTCTTTAGGGATTCTGTATTTATCTATTTTACGATCACATCCGTGTTATTTGTGCCGTGTGGCGGCTGTTAAAAGTCTCCCCGTACATTTAATCAATGATGTTATATTTTCGATCCAAGAAGATCGTTCAGCACTACATTATTGTTGTACTTGTGGTATTTTTAGTTTCAACTTTTCGGAATTTTCTTGTTGGGTGGTTCCTACTTGAATAATGTTGAATCACCCTTAGGACATCTTGCTTGCCTTTTAAATTTGTCTTTTGACGTCTTATCTGTGATACGCAGGCTTCATAACCTCTGATCCCCTTTCAAAATTCCATTTTATTTAGTTCCGCCTATTGTTTTCTCGTTTAGGGCACACGCTTTTTATTACTTGGGGACCATACGCCGCTTTTCATGTAATGGCACGGAAGTGTCACATTGAAGGTTCCATGATAACCGCCGTATGAACACATCTGCGGATGTTTCGAAATTCAAAATTTTACTATTTCACGTTAAATGTTGAATTCTGCTTAAGCCGGTGCTGAGGGCGTGGACGGTAACTTGCACTTTCCAGTACCGTCCACGAACAGGCTCAATCAAAACGAGCCTGCAACATTTTCAATTTTGCCGTGTTGGGCTTTCTTTAGGGACTCTGTATTTATCTATTTTTAGAGGTAGGCAACTGGTATTGTGCATGACAAATTGTCTCATTATTGTGAATGTTTATGCCAGTACTTCCAACATCTCTTCATGGATAGGAAAGTTATTTACCGGACACGACATATACCCTCAAATTAACAATGATGACCTTTTATCACCAAGTGTGGCCTTTACCTTGGAGGTAGGGGTCCGGATGTTGCGCATGACACATTGTCTAATTACAACGAACGCTCCTTTAAGATAAATGACATTGTTTTTGACTGGACACAAAAATGTCACGGACGGACAAACGGGCTGAAAGAAGGACGGATCCTATTTCTACACCCCCTTTGTTTCTCTAAAAAGGCATGGGACAATAACGGCGAAACATGATGCTTTATTTTTGTTCAATGATCTTCACTAAAAACCATATGCTGGTAAGGTTAATGATTTTTTAGAGCTACCCTTTAAGTTTGTGTGAAGTTGACATTCACCCAAGGAAGCACGCTTGTTAACTTTGATATTTTACTGCTCCTTCGAAATCAATAAATGAATATATTTTCGCGAAGTAAGATGCATTTTATTTTTAATTCACTTTACGCCGATACTATGATGGAGTGTGTGAAATGTCATATTTCCCAATAGTTTTCACAACCAAAAATCAAAACGAGTCGGCAGCTTGAATAAGCTAGAGCCACCGCCGGGCGGGGACAACACTCGACTCTTTCTAAAAACAAACAAACAAGAATATGCCCGAAAGTGTTTCTTTTTTTAGTAAGATTGAAGCATTTGTAAGACATGGGAATTAATTAAGTGTTACCTCCTTCAAATAAAGCAATCCTCCTCTGAAGTTAAAATATTGTGAGCAAAATGGACTTAAGTTGTGCTCCGGTTTTAAGGTAATAGTGAACTTGACCTTTGATCATGTGACTCAAAACATCTATAGGGGTGTTCAACCTTATATGGACAATCATCCTATGAAGTTTGAACACTGTGGGCAAAATGGAACTTAAATTATGTTCCGGAAACTGTTTTCAGTTAAAAAGAAATAGTGACATTGACCTTCGATCTTGTGACCCCAAAATCATTAGGGGTCTTCTATTTGATAATGACAATCATCTTATGAAGTTTGAACACTGTGGGCCAAATGGAACTTTAGTTATGCTCCGAAAACTGTTTTCAGTTTCAAGGTAATAGTGACCTTGACCTTGGACCTTGTGACTTCAAAATCAATGGGGATTTTCTACCCAATATGGACAATATGGACAATTATCCTTTGACATTTGAATATTGTTGGCCAAAAGGAACTTAAGTTATGCTCCGGAAACTGTTTTCAGTTAAAAAGTAATAGTGACCTTGGCTTTTCACTTTGTGACCCCAAAATAAATAGGAGTATTTTACTTGATATGGACAATCATTCAATGCCGTATGAACACTGTGGGCAAAATGGAACTTACGTTATGCTCCGGAAACTGTTTTCAGTTCTAAGGTAATAGTGAACTTGTCCTTTGAACTTGTTACACCAAAATCAATAGAGGTCTTCTACTTGATATGGACAATCATCCTATGAAGTCTGAACACTGAGGGCCAAATGAAACTTAAGTTATGCTCCAGAAACTGTTTTCAATTTTAAGGTAATAGTGACCTTGACCTTTGACCTTGTGATCCCAAAATCAATACAATCATCCTATGAAGTTTGAATATTGTGGGCCAAATGGAACTTAAGTTAAGCTCCGGAAGCCAAATTGCTATCGGACGGACGGATTGACGCAAGGGGGTATAACATGATATGCCCGAAATTCTTTCGGGCATATAATAAACGGTTGAAACTAATCTTGAAAGAAACAGTGTTAAGTTTTCCTTTTTTAATTTTTAATTGGTCAGTTTAGTCACACTAGTTTTATCAAAGTATGAATCTTTTCCATAAATAAATGACAATGTTAAGAAAATATAATCAAAATTCAATAATTTGATGGTCAAGGTCACATCTAAATTATTCAACATTTCTGTTTCGTCTTTCCAAGGATGAATCGAATCCGTACATATGTAGCAAAATCATGAAAAGTTAATCAAAATTCAATACGTTGACCTTGACCACAAAGGTCATTTAACGGCCAAGGTCAGTTGAACATTTCAGAATATCTTGTCCGAAAAAGTTTGTTTTGTCGAAGTATGAAAATCATCAAGTCATTTAAATACAACTTTAAAATAAATGTCATTTTTGCTTCCTCCTTTCTCTAGTCCATATGTTTTATTACATCCAGCATAGTCTGCTATCATTTTACTACAGAAAGTAGTGTAAGAGACCACGTAGTTTATTTCAAGGTGAGATAAAACTCGTTTCAATATTAAAGCAAACGACGTAATGTTGACTTGTTTTTAAATGAACGTATGAAAAATATATGTTTTACATAAGACCTTTGAGTGTGACCCTGACCTTCAGGGTTGTGACTTGATCATTGCATTTTTCCAATGGTATCATAATGGTGATCATTTCTGCCAAGTTATCTGAAAAACATAACAACAGACACGAAATATAGACTTTCAACATTTGACATGTAAGTGTGAGCTTGGGGGTAGCAATTCAATTATTAATAACCTAGTTACGGGAAAGGGCTATAAAGGGGGTTTCCCATGGTGTTTGGAATTTT